AATGCAATGCTCCCCTACTATGTGCACTGCCCAGCAAGGCCTTCCCATGCAGCAGCAGCAGCATCTTCCACGAAAGCAAAAGCGAGCGTGCAACAGATCAGATTCTCACCTGCTGTCTTCTGTCCTCACTGTGCCTCTGTGGCCACACTTTTATCTGCAGCAGGTTGTTATCTGATGTGGGATATCTGAGCCATGAGGAACTGCCCCCCGGGTTGGTGGGGCCAAAGCAGAGCAGCACCCGCTGCCCAGCCCAGCTCCCAGCAGGGGCTCCTGTGTGCCCCACAAATGGTCCTGCACACCCACTGGGACGAGGCAGCACCCTGCAATGGTTTGGGGGTCATGGGATGCCTGATGGGAATAGATTCCTCTCCCTGTCGTCATCCTTTACTGCTCTTAAAGGCTGAAAAAGTCTCAGGAGTGGAGGCATCAGCTCCAGGGGAGATCTGCTCATCACTCCCCATCTCAGCTCCCCAACCTGTCCTGCTCTTTCCCCCTGCTGTGGTCTGGATGGGCTCACAAATGCCATTCCTTGTGCTTTATGCTTCCCTGCGCAGACAGAAGCAGCAGGAGAGGAACCTGGCTGATGGTCTGACCACCACCAGCCTCCAGCAACAGATCCTGAGCTCTGGGCAGCTCAGGTTGGGGTTTTCTCTTGCCCAAATTGCCCTTGTGCTCTTGGGAGCTCACTGGACAGCCCTTCCCTTGCACAAAGTCCCTCTCCCTGAGTGCAAACCCAGCTCCTGGACCAATCCCACTGTCTTCCAGCTGTGCTAACACTACAGGGAACTGGGATTCTGCTGGACCTGGTGAATAATGTTCTTCAGCCAGATGGGGTGAGAAGAAGCACAGGAGATGCTTACCAGCTCTTCCTCCTAAATGGGACTCCAGCTTGCTGCACTGTGTTCATCCCATAACAGAAACTCCTCGGTTCAGCAACACAGACTGAGACCAGGGCGGCTTCAGTGAACGTCTGAACTCCTCCCTGCACGGGGCATTCAGGAACCACAGCGTTGTCCCCCTACTCCCAGCAGCAGCTCTGCTCATGCTGGTGTCCCCAGGGCTACCTGCAGGCTGAACCATACCCTTTAACTCACTGCATCGGTCTTTTAACATTTTAGAGAAAACCTGCAAAGCAAAGAGCAAACCTTGCAGTGAGCCAGAGGTGAGGCTGCACCTGGAGCATGTGTCCCGTTTGCAGCACTGCTCTTGTGCAAAGGGGCAGAGCTGGCAGAGTTTTGCAGTCTGCTTGCTTACTCTGCTGCACCATGCAGCTCCCTGGTCAGAACGAGGGTAAGGGTTTTTCAGAAGCTAATGACAAAGTTAGTGCATATTTGTGCTGATAATTGCATTTCACAATGCAGAACTTAATTGCTCTCAAAAGCTTCAGCAGCAAATGAGACACCATGTGCTGCTCCTCCAAGGGTAAGGAAACAAGAACATAACGTCAGCTCAAGCAGCGTTACCTCAGAGCAGAGATATTTCCACACCATCCAACCGCTCCTTCTGCCTGCAAAGCCTCCAAATACTTGGACCAAGAGCAGCCAGAAGACCCAAAATAAGAATCACACATCCCGGCCAGGGGCTCTGTGCTCCCAGTTCTAAGCAGTGATTAATTAGGATGAGGCCAAAAGCAGGAGTGACTTCTCCATCCTCCAGCAGCAGATGGCAGCGGTCCCAACAGCTCTAGGTGTGCTCCAGGATGGCCCACTGGCTCTGTGCCACTTCAGAGGCAATTTGGTCCTTTGGACAGTGTGTAACTTTGGACAGGACCCCTCAGCAGAAGGCTTTCAAGGATAGATGATCCCATGCCCTACCCAGGGCCACGCACCACCTCCCTCATTCTCTAATGCTATGGTCCCAAAAGCCCAGGTCAGACCAGCCTGTCTACTCTTCCCTACATCAACTCAGCTCACAATTGAGAGCTGTACAAGAATATTCAACTCTTGCACTTCTTGAGGTCTGCAAAAAGCCAGCCCAAGCTTTGTTCTTCTGAAAGAAGTTTTGTGAACTCAGGAATGCGCCGAAGCTCAGCTCACCTGGATGGGGCTCCGAGCACTGCAGGTGTCCCTGCTCACTGCAGGGGGTTGACACTCTTAGAGTGACCTCTAAGGCCCTTTCTGACTCAGAAGATTCAATGATTCTATGCCCTTGGGAGCTATGGCTAACCAAACGTTGGTATTTTCTCTAGAATTGAGAAGATGCTGAGAACATCCTGAGGAACCCATCTGTATGAGTACCCCTGATTCTGTCCGCTCGCCCCTTCTCCCATTTCTTCTGCACTTTGATGTGCAGAGGACGTGCATGAAGGTCTTGAAGGTCTTGAACCTTTCTTCAGGCTTCTGCCTGGTGCTGGGGAACCAACTGAATTAGTGTGACTGCTGTATGATGGCAGTCCATGTATGTAACAGGGAAATTTGGTAGGCAGCAGCCCAGCGTGTCCTGGGGAGCAGGGGGTCACCATGAACCTACGGGCACAAGGACTCGGCTGAAGGAAGTTCGCAGGGAGAAGCAGAGCCCTCCTGCAGGCACCTGCTCTGGGCAGGCACCAAAACACTGCAGCTGCTGTTGTTCTTTCTATGGGCTTTGCTCTTCAGTTCACTCCCTGATGAAACGATAAGGCAACAACAGTTTCTTTCAAAAGACCTCCAACGACTCTCTTAGGAAATTGCAGATGTTAAATTCAGTTTAGAACTGCAACCGACTTCCTCCAGGCAGGGTGAGTGGGAGATAAATTACAGCAACTGCAGCGCACAGAGGTATTTCTGGAGGCACCTGCTGCCAGAATTAGGATTATAGTCATAGAATGGCACGATTTGGGACTGCGAGGAGAACTGAGCCCACCCAGCTCCTGGCTCCACACAGCACTGCCCACAACTAATGGCACTCACCCAAACACTTCTCCAGCTCCAGCAGCCTTGGTTCTGTGATGGCTGCCCTGGGGGCTTCTTCATCAGCAGCCTTTGCAGAGCCCCACATAACACTGCAGAGCTCAGTTTCAAGTGCCTGCAGTTTCACAGAGGCTCCTATGAGGCACCGTCTGCTCCCTGAGTCTGAAGCCAAGACCCTATGGTTGGACCTCAGCGCTTTTGGGGTTTCTTTATTTTTCACTTCTACCCAAAGTATACTGAAGAATGGAAACAGCCAGTTTCCATTTTCCATTCCAGTTGGTGAGAGGGGAAATGTCTTCCTTCTCCTTTGTTTGGTCAGTTGCCATAGGCAGCGTTTTTTTTTCTAGATCCAGGCGTCTTCTAGGGAAAGCAAGGAGAAAAACTGCAACTCTGAGCAAGACAGGAGGAAAAACCTGTTTGTCTCCAGTATCTCCAGCCTTCTCTCACCTGATCAGAGACACCACGTTCTGAGGCACTACAGAACTCAGCAGCTACATGGGAGGATGAGACACTGAGTAGCTTGAGCACGGCTGGAGACTGATGTCCACAAGTCCTTGCCAATCCTGGGCACTCTGTGATCCAGGCAGTCTAACAGTGTAACTACACCTGATGTCTCCTCCTCCAGAATTAGGTCTCCTGTGACAGGAGAGGCAAAGAGTTTCCATTCACTCATGGTGACCGCAGGGAAGGCAGGGACCCACGTGAGGGGCTATGGAGCATCCTCAGGGTGCCAGGGACTGGGGCTGTTCTTCCACCACACACACCACCACCACTCCCAAATAAGCAACACTGAATCGGGTGCTTTTTTAAGGAAAATGTATTTTTGTGAAAATAGACTTTATTATAATAAAATTTGATATTAAATAAAAACATACCTTATCACCAACATCTGTGGACACTGTGCTGGCATCATTCACATACCTCACATAACTGTCCTTCTCAAAACAAGTACCCACTGAAACATGCAAAGAAAGAAACACAGCAAAGGATAGAAACCATGTCGTACAAAACTCCGTGGCTTAGAAAGGGATGTGACTGAACTGAAGGAACGCATCATCTCATATGGAAACAGCTGCAACCTCTCCATCCCCAGCTCTGCTCTCCAAACGCTCCAACAAGTGAGGAGCAGCGCGCTGAAACAGCCGAGTGAAATGGTGAGAGAGGTGGACAAAAAACAAAATAAATACATAAATAAATAAATAGAGAAATAAATAAATAAGGCGGAGTCCCCAGCCGGCGCGTGGTCACGGCGAGCCAGCCAAGAGCAGCTTACAGCAGCCCACGCCATTGGCAGAAGCATCGATCCCCTCCTGGGTGTCGCCCCTTCCTCCATGGGAATCCGTGCTGAAACACGACTGAGGCAGTGTGGGATGCTCCTAGGCACAGCTGCGTATTTACAGGTTTACAGTACGAATAACTCACTTGTCAGCCCAGAGACAGCAAAGGGGATTCACAGGAAAAGTGCAAATTTTCTTTGCAGGAAGTGAAGGACTCGACACAACCTCCTTTGGACCAGAGAAATACCAGGGGTGTAGTAGAAGGGAGCTCTTCCTAAGGGGCTGGGGCTTTGCTGGGAAAAGCCATTGAGCTAACTTACAGCCAGAGCATATTTCTTAAATTAAAATATTTACAGGGAACCGGTGCATCGAGGGCTGCGAGGAGCAGGACGCCCTACTGTGGAGGAAGCTGCATCCTAGAGCCTGGGCCTCACACACCTCAGTGCCGTGACACTTCCAGAGCCGCTGCCCACCTGGGGGGGCACCCATGGCTGAGCTCTCAGCAGAGCACGCAGCTCACCTGCTGAGGAGCTTCCTCTATTCCATATAACTTTTCTGCTATGAAAATACTCTAATCAGCTTATTGCCAGGGCTTCTCCTGAATTGTCAGTGCCTGTGTGGATTGCACAGGCAGTCCACACATGGCGATAAATCCCTTGTTAGTCTTTCTTACTGGACCCAAGTTTTCTGAAGAGCTTTTTTCCTTTGATGAAGAAGCCTCTCTTCTTTTTACTCTGAGCAGGTAAGTCGCTGCATTTGAGAACAGCCAGCGATGGCCGCTCTGGACGCTGCTCGCCCGTGGCAAGGCAGGAAGGAGGTGCAGGAGGAGTTGGTGGGAAGTCACTGTGATCAACAGATCCATCTGGATTTAACTGGGTGGGAGAAGAGAAAACAAAGGAAAAGAAGGATATTATGCCAACACAAACCCCAGCCAGAAAACCCTGCCTTCTCCCACCACTCTGTCCCTCACCCAGCAAGGCTCAGCCCCTCCATGGTTGCAGATTCAGTTAGGAAGCTTCTGGTAAAGTGTTCTCTACTTCTCACCCAGACACTGCCTGACCTCAGACACTCCAAGATTCCTTAACTTCAAGCTACAAACAGTATAGCAGAAAAGCCTCGCTGAGGACCTGATGGAAGATGCTGCTTCACAGCTGAAGAAACAGAAGTTCAACACCTCCTGAGTGCAAGGATGGAAAGACTGCCTGCTGGGTGCCTGCAGTCAGGGCAGGATGGGGGCTCCCTGCACAGCCTGGGCAGATCTGAAGCAGCTCAGCAAACTGCACAATTGCTCCTGCCAATCTAGGCATGAAAGACTGCACGCAAAGGGAGAGGCAGGCACCAGGCCAATTCAGAAATGACACAATTGTTTTCAGGAATGACAGCTCATTGTCTAATAGTTACGGGGAAATGGCTGCAGTTCCCTGTTTTTGTGGCTGCAAGTCCTGATTCCCAGCTGCGGTACGCGATGCCCAAGCAGACTTCTATGCACAGAGGCACTCATACACACACACAGATATTCTCAGAGGTCTCCACATGGCAGAAAAACAACAGGAATCACTTTACAGATTCATCTGGTAAGAGATAAAGGATGCTAAAATCAGGGTTTCTTCCCTGTGAGAAAAATGGAGACAGAACCACTCTGGCAAGATCCTGCTGAAAGCTGTTGGGGCTGATAACAGTGGTGTTAGTTGGAAGGGGATGGTTTCCAGTGCTCTCTTGGGTGTTACTGATTAATCCAACCACACAAAAGCAAGTCAAACACAGATCTCCTCCCGCTGCTCCCCTCAAAACAGGGGATCTGACCCCCAAGCCTCAGCATTGATTCTTTGTTATCAGACAGAACAATTATCCACACAAGGTTGGTTTTAGGGACTAAATGTTACTGCTTTTTTAACTTGATGGGGTCCCAGGAGGTTTGAGGAGTATACTGAGGAAGGAGTGAAATCAAGAAGTGAAAAACAGGGGGATCCTGCAAAGGCTACTTGAGGCATTTCTACAGTGGTAGAGCAGTAGGTCTGAATTACAAAGCAGATCTTTTCTAAACCTGAATACCCAGCACTCCTACATTCCCACTGCAGTCCCCAAAACCACCAGATAATCGTTCAAAACAGCACTTTATGTGCTGAACACGGCTCCAATTTAATACAGAACTAACTGAGCAGGTAAAGACCTGCCAGCAGAGGGCTTTAGGCTGGTGTCAGAGCCCCAGAGCAGCTTCTCAATCTACAAGCAAGAACAGGAACAAGCTGCAAGTGTGGAACTCTCTAACAGGCTGGTTAGGAAATGGAAGAGATCTTCTCACACAAACTTACATGGTTGCTCTCTCTCTATGTATCATTCATATCTATCACTGGACTCTTCTCTTCCTCATTCTCTGAAGGAAAGAACCGCCATGGGTGCATAATACAGGCAGAAATAAATACATGAAATCAATTAGAATGGAATACTTTCTGAAGATGCTTTACAATCAGTCTGACAGAAACTGTACTGGCAATGCAAAAAGATTCATTCAGCAGCCATGGCATTAAAGCAGGCCACTCCTAGCTGCTGAACAGCAGTGTTTCAGTGCCCTCGCTTGTGATCATAACTTCTTGGATACTCCTCTTTGCACTGCATTTTTTACTGCTCACTCCAGCCAAATTGATGTCAGTTTGAAAGTTAAATCGCTTTACCTTTATCTGTTGTCAGCATTTTAAAATTTGCTCAGAAATAGTTCTAATAATTCACCTTCCCCAGTTCAACATTCAAATTGTCCTTATTCTCAAGCCTTTGTCATATCAGAATGCAAAAAGCAAATGGGAAGAAGAGATCTGGTGAAAACTTGAAATCCAAGAAGTTATAAGCAATTCAAAAACCACTCCTGGTCATGCTGGAGAAGCTTCTGTTAAGACTTGAAGTAGCTTTAACACAGCCCAAAGCTCAGACAGGATACACGGTGAGGATACATGCTCATTGATGAGTTAGCTTTTAAGATGAATGAAGCTGGCAAATTTGATGGGAGACTTGTTATGCTGTGTTTAATATTCAAACAGTGCTTCCCTAAAGGCTGCCAGGGGCTTTTGCACTCCCCCTGACCATTCACCCCAACCCAGAGATGCTTCCATCTGTGTTCTGCTAGATACACACACCAACACCACACTTAAATGGCACACTCTTAAACTATGGAATGAATATGTGGAAGACCAGAAAGCCTCAGGTGGGGCTGTATCACAGTGCCCCTAAAATATTCTATAGGAAGACATGTTCCTTCTGCCTTACCTATCAGGAGCTCTGCTTATAGGTGTGGATGCTGTGATTGCTATGACAGCCAACAACTCTGTGGGTCAGGTTCTGCCTCTCCTCAGAAATCACTGAATGTACTTGAATGTAGTTAGGTAGCACAAGCTTGGTTAGGAGCAGGGTAAACATACTGCTTTTACAAAGAGACAGGCAGACAAGCACGCCCTTCATATTTGGAAGCTGTTCAGATACATCTGGACTGCAAAGCAGAAACAGAGACCAGGACTGTGTGGAGTCAGAGTGGTGAACTGCTGCGTCCAGGGAAACAGGAACCTGCTGCAGAACACAGCACAAGTGGAAAGGGCAGTGCAGAGGGAGCAGCAGCAAACTGCAGGGCAGCAAGCAGAAGCAGCTGGTGCTCCCTGCCCAGCAGCAGAGCAGACGTGCCCTCAGGATCCTGTAAGCTCATGACACAGCCTGGGATACAGCAGGCCAAACCGACGTCTTATTGGTGAGGAAGCTGAGACACAGAAGAGAAATGCAAACAGGTACAAGAGCACAGGGGCTGCGTATGCCACGAACACCATTTGCTGAGCCACATACTTCACATTTGCAAGCAGCAGATCAGTTCTCTGAGCCCAAATGGTTAACTGAATTTCCCATTATTTCCCATGATTTTTTCACCGAGATTTCTGGGACCCAGACTGGGGCTGGAATGACAATTCTTGGACATCTGAGCTGGCCTTTGCCAGCTGTTACCTGAGAGGATGTCAGATGTGGAATAAGTTGTACTACCAATTCAGCCTGTTACAACTGTACTGGCTCAGGTCTCCTTCAACACCTTCTGTTCTAATTGATGGATAATTTGGGAAGAGTAAATTGTTCTGAGGGAAACAAGAGAAGAAAAACCTCGCTGAATACTTGTTTCCACTCAGAATTTCGACCTGTGCAACCTCCCAGTTGCCAAACCATGGTAATAAGAGCTCATTAAATACTGCAGTTCCTCAGCGCATACCAGCATTTGTGGGCTGAGATCAAAGGGACTGAGTATCCTACACAGACAAGCATGAGAGACCCAAAACTGCTTCTGGGTTTAGGAGATGATCCAGTAAATTATCCATAAACCTTATTTCCGATGCATTCCTGACACCTCTCACAGAAAGGCATTGAGGCTGTGGGACAAACACTGCACCCACAAAGCTTGATGTGCTGGGCTGCAGAGGGTGCCTGTGGCAGACCAGGCAGGGACAGGGAGATGAAGGTGAGCAAAGGAGGAGCAGAGCATGAAAAATAGGACAAATGACAGTGCAAGGAGTTAGAAAGCTAGCGTGACACCAGTGAAGAGACTAACAGGAAGATTCAGGACAACACACTGCCTTTAGGAGTAGCTCACAGCCAACCTGGCTTTGCTCTTCCACACTTTTATGGGTCTGTGTACCTTCCTGTCTCCCACTCTCTAGAATACCACAGCACAGAGGATTTGGGAGTTACCAGAGAGGTGCCATACTTTTGGCCTCACCCACTGAGGACTGACTGAATCCGGCATGTAACCCAAATCTCCTGCTGAAGCATTTGCTTGAAAAGCATCAGAAACATAAAGCAAGGGGGGACAGCCCAACCTTGGAACTCCTTGCATCTGTGGGTTGCTCTCAAAGCCTCAGGCCATGAATTCATTCATCAGATCTGGTTGAGAAACTCCCCTGTATCTTTTGAATTTGTCTGAGATGCATTTAACTTGGGAGAGGTGGAAAAACATTGGTGCTTAGTTGTTAATAATCCCAGAAATCCTTCACGTGGATATGAACATACCTGAGGAATACTGTGCCTGGGAAGCCACCTGAACCGTTCTGTGTGCAGTGGCATTTCACACTGACCCCTGTGAGCATCTGAAGAACTTGCTGTTGGAACCTGCCATGTTCTTTGCTCCCCTAACCAAACTGAGCACGAGGATTCCATGAATGTTGCTCTTTGGTACCTTTTTTTCATATTAAGGTTAAATCTTTAAGAACTCCTGGTGCTCCCCTCTAAACTCCTGAGCTCCCATGGGATGAACTGAGCTGCATGCAATCACTGATGTGACTCCATGAGGTGCTGCATGCTGTGCAGAGCCCAGTCTCCAAGCACGTCACAGTTTGAATGCCTGCACTACGCAGCCACGCAGTCTTACCTGGCTCTCAGCGCCCAGCAAAAAAGTGTCTCTATCTTTTGAGTGAAGCTCCTCAGCCACGTCTCCATCTGAGGTTACAGCTTCCAAAAAGTTAGACGGGACAAGCCCTCTCTGCTGGTTCAGCTCTCCCTGCAAGATCAAGACTCAGTTCCCACATCAGGTTTCCTGGCTGAGGCAGAAATAAACAGAGGAGCAGGCCCATGCAGAGAAGGCCTGAGAGAAGCCCAGGGACACACTCATGTTGGAAGCATACTCAGGAAATTTCACAACTCACATTCTTGCTTGCTTAGTTGTGGAACAACTCAGAATGCAAAAACACAGGAGATTACAAGAAGAAAAGCTGACAGTGAGCCACAACAAATATATTCCAGGAACACAGAAACATCAAAGTTGTAAACTATGAAGCCTATTTGCACTCTACAAGCTCAAAAAATTCCCACTGATGTCCTGGAAGCAACTGGAACATGGTTGTGCCAAAGGCTACCTAGAGGCTTTTCATTTACTCTGGTATTTTGCATATGTTCATACATTTCTGAAGAATGAAGTACTGCTGGTACAACATTCTTGTCTCTGCTCACTGACATCTCGAGCTACAAACCAAGCTCAACTGTCATTCTAGAATATTGTCTGCAGTTCATCAGCAGGTAGCTGGGTGAGACAAAACCACCCCTGCAATGTTGCTTGGACAACAGCATGAAGGAAGTCAAACAAAACATTCACAAGACTCTCCTCTGAATTTACCCCAGTTGTGAGCCTCACCCTTTATGTGTGAATACAGACTTTTCTGTTCAGGAAAAGATGAGCTAAGGAATGTGCCTAACACACAGCTCACTGGCAGGCAGAGTCCCCAGCTATTCACAGTAAATCAAGCAGATATCAGTGCTTGCTGAAGTTGGGATGTGGTAGGACAGAGGTCAGTGTACATTTTTATCCTTGTGTTACCATTCCAGCCTCCTGCCCTAGACAAGACCATGTGTCAGAGTCCTTGGTGACAAATCAGCTTGCAGCAGAGAGTGATGCAGCTGCTGACGTACACTGCAGGAAAATGTATTCTAGGCTTTGGGAAAGCTGCAGTCAAGTTACACCAAGAAAAAAACTCATAACCATGTGGATATTAGTTTAGAGGAGTACAGGCTGCAAGAGACAATCTGCCTGCATTGAACAGGGACGTGTTCATTTCTTCCATTAGCAAAATAATATATTTTGTCCCCTAATTTCTGCTCTCCTGCCACTAGATGGATTCCAAGGATTTCAGATGTAGCCAAAGGACCTTCCCAATCCCAGGACTTACGTAGTAGAATCCATCATCATCCATGGACCCAAACACAGTGATAATGTCCCCTGCACTGAAAGTCAGTTCAGCCTGCAACAAGCGAAAGAGAACAAATGAGCAAAATGATCCAAGAGGAGCACTGCCACAATTTCTCACCAGAAACACAAGGCCACCCTGGGCTGCTTGTACAGTCTCACCACAAGTGATGATGGCCACTGTGTGAAGACTTACAGGACCAGAATTTAGCAGGACAACCAAATTGGGAAACTGGAATTCAGTGTTAAGGAAGCATTTCATAAAATAAGACAAAAACAAAGTGTGTTCCTGAAACCAATTTTGATAAAGCTTCAAAATGGTTGAAAACCACTAGGTTAGGTTCAAGACCTAACATCTATTCCAGAAAGTGGCACTGAGAAAAAGCTGAACAAACATCAGGAAAAAAAAAAAAAACATATATATTTTTAAATATAAACACTAAATCCTCTTCCCTTGGATGATCCTTTTCAGGATGCAATGCTCAAGGGTTAGTTACTACCAGAAATGCATATGAGCAGGAAGATCTAACCTGAGAACACAGAATTACTGCACAGGAGCTGTGATCTGTTGTCTGCCACTTGAGGGCAGAGTCCTTGGAGCACAAGACCAAGGTGAAAGGTACAAGTATTCTCATCTAATGGAAGACATCTCCCTACAGCTGCTCTACGATAGAAGATCTGGAGTCTCCAAACAGGCTGTGTAAAAGGCAAGTCCCATTGAAGAGACTAGCTCTACACACATGAAAGGGTTGGCTGGAAGAGACTCACTTCTAATATATTTATATTATGTAGTTCCCAGGACTCAATTTCTCTCCTGAGGCTGTAGGCGCCTACTGCTGGTTGTGAATGGCTTTGTCCTAGCAGAAAGAAGCTTCTGGAGAACTTCACTCACAGACACAAAAAATTGCACAGCTGATCCCAATAGGACTTATTGCAGGAACATAAACAGCAAATCTAGTGACCAAATTCCTGATGAATCAAGTGACCAGATTTTCTGGGAGGGTGCATAGGGAGCAGCTCCAACTCTGCAACACGGACAGGGTCTTACTGACAAGGTTTCAAAAGTAATCTTCAGTCAGATGTGTGAATACCTATGTGGATGCTGTTTAATGCATGCTCTCATTATACCTCTCCCAAGACAGCTCATCACCCCATAACACTCTGTCCTCAGAAGATTCTCTTGTTCGTAAGACACCTGAACCAGGCAGCAAGCATTATCTGCACTGTGCCACCTCTTGGTCATCTGTTCTTTTTAGTATACATGGAGAGAACCTGAATTCAAGCCCCATTACCTTTGCTCATAGTAGACTAATGCTGCTACAAAGGAAGAAAGAACAGAGCATGCTGTAATTTAGAAAGCCTTTTTTTTTTTTTTTTTTTCCCCACACAGGTGCTCTGCAATCTTTCCACAGGAAATACTTATCCACAAAACTGCTGTCTGGATTATACCTAGAGACTGCTTGAAAAGCCACAATTTAGAGGACCAATCCATTAAACTGGAGCTAAGTCCTCTTTCTCGAACGAAGATCTGCACAAATCTTTGCCTTGTCAACACAACAGATGAGCTCCAAGACTTTCACCGTCAGTATCAGAAGTCAGTTCAAACCCTTAAAGGGATTCTCCTTTTACTGCAGGATGTCCAGGGTCACTTGCTAAAAGCAGGGGCTGTTCAGTCCTGTCTGAGCACTTCCAGGAAGCTGCAAGGCCCTGAGATGCTCACAGAGCTTCACAGAGATGCACACTGAAAATCATTAGGGATATGTTGCTTCGTATTTGCAGATTGCTGAACACAGTTACATCTGACAGAGTGTATCAGCAAAGTTTACATTTTAAGACTTGTTTTAGGAGCTATATTGTCATGCTATAATCACCTTAGTTTTGACCGAAGTACTAAGTGTCTCAGAACAGGTGAAAAAAGAGTGGAAAAAGAAACCTGTCAGAGGACTGAGCAGTTGCTGGTTACCTCTGCATCTGCATTTGGAGAGCTCTCCTTGGGGTTGTAGTCGAAGACAGCCACCATACTTCTAGGAGTCAGCAGTTCAGCTTCAAAGTCCTGATGCTTCTGTCCTGTAGGACAAAAACATAACAAGATTTACTGAGCTGTAAGTTAAAAGAACATTCCAAACCGTAGCAACTCCTTCACCGTTACTGGGAGTGAATTGAGTAGAAGTAATACAAAGGGGAAACTGAATGGGCAAGAGATCTTAAAGGCCCCAGAGATATCTGGTAAAACAGCCTTCTGCTCTCCTCCATCCCTTTACAATCACAGAACTGGTGACACCCTGCAATCCACTGTCCTGGTATTCTGTCTATATATATAGGAATGTTTCTTTTCATGTATTTTATTTTCTATTTTAACATGCACACTCAACACTGTCTCAAATGGACATTTCTCACCCCTCCACATAATGCTTTGCTGCTGAGCTACAAAACTGGTTTTCTGTGCGCCCATCCACACCAGCACAGAGCTCAGCACCAAGGGAAGGCAGGCCTCACAGCTCAGACATTGCAGTGCATTTCTACAACCTCCTGCTTGCCTGCTTGCTCAGCCCCATTTCTTCTTCTAGACTTATTCTGCAAAAACAAAGCCTGGCACCACAGAAAAGATAAATTGTTCACTTCTTCATCTTATGGATTTACACCCTGCTTCAGGTAGACACTGGGTGGCTTAGCAATGGGTTTGCAGGTGTGACATCAACAAATCTCAATACGCCACAGCAGGGTTAGAATCCCCTCAAGAGACACTGGATTTTAGGCACAGCAGCACCAGATGAGTAAGCAAAACCTTTACCTTCTAACACTCCCTGGTTAGTCAAAGGTCACTTCACTCACTACTAAAGAACTAAAGCTCTTCCTTCCTGAGAATGCCCATTTTCTTACAGTGCTCTAAAGGATGAAAAAGGGACTTGGATTCATTCTTGGCCACAAAACTTGCATCTGCTCATATGATCATATGTTAGCAACACAGCATTCCTCTTCTCATGGTAATAAAGAGCAGTTCTCACCTGGATGAGACTTGTACTTCTCCTGTTTATCTAGTTCTGTTGGGGAGGAAAAAAAAAGTATCCAGTCAATGGATGTCCATCTTTTGATAGTGTCCACACCACACAACTGACAAATAACAATAAAAAGAACAAAGATCACAGCAGCAAACAACAGAAGCAAACTGTTCATGCAACTCAAAGCCTAAGCCAGTAACCATGACTCAGGGACGTAATAAGACGCAGAGGTCAAGCTCCAAAACTATAAAAGACATCACTGTTGTTAAAAACTTAACACCAGCAGGGATGGGCTCTCTTTCCACTTCCTAGCAGTCGTACAGAGACAAACATCTGAGGGTCCTGTAAGCAAGTAGTACAAATTCAATGCAGTCTGTAATCCTATTGCAAAAAATCAAAGAGGAAGCAGTGGGTGACACAGACCTTTCTTGGAGCGTCTGGGTTTTGGAGGAGGGACGGTTTGGCGGCGTGGAGGTGGAGAAAATGTGCCATTTCCTTAATAAAAATCCAAAAAAGCAAATAAATAGACAAGAGAAACAGACAGTGAACGGAAAGTGAAAAGCATCTTGAAGAGCGAACAGGCAACAGAGTGGCACGACACGCTTCCCCTGGGAAGCAGACACCAAGATTTCTGTGCACAGAGCCCCAGTCTCCATTTACCATATGTGGACTCAGATGAAGCATGATCCACATGCTAAGTACACAGAGAAATCCACACTGCATTTTTGCCCACTAATGATATCACAGTACACAGCAGACAAACTTCACTTTGCAGCTTTGCTGCATTTTATCTTTCAGAGGGAGCATCACAAGGATAAAATAAAGCCTTTGTACCATCAACACCTGGAAAAAGCCATGTGAGGGGCATCCCATCAGCTCAGGTGCAAAGGGACTTTGAGCTGGAGCTAAAACTTCTGCACAGAGCAGGCTCAGTCCTGCCTTTGGACCAGGCTGCTCAAATCTCTTCTCACTGGGTCTCTTCTCCTGGCTAACGAAGCCACGCTCCCTCAGCCTCTCAGTGCAAACTGTTCAAACAAATCCACTGCCCCTGCAAACTGCGTGGCTGTTCAATGCTTGAAAATGTCCCTTGAAGTTCCACAAGAGCGAAAAGAGGATTTCTGGAGAAGCCAGTATATACATTCCTTCCCCAGCTGAGCCTGCAGGAGCTCCCAGACCAACCACTCCAAGGCCCTCCCTTACTTACAAGGCAGCAGGAAAACAAGAGGCACATACAGCCCAGCTGCCTAAAGAAACAAGATCTGGTTTTTGTGCTCACACTGCTGTGAGGTGTGTTTCTCACTACCACTGCATTTCAGAAAACACTCAAATCCATTGTTTCTGCAGTCTCAGAGCTACTGAGGTTTTTATTCTGAGAACATGCAGGGTGAGGGACAGGGAGCCCTGTACATCCACACGGAACAAAGGCCACCACAGGCATCTGGCCACCTCTGAGCACCAGAAGATACACTCAAGAAATGCACTACAAATGTTCTGAGTGTGAGAAAAGCCTCACTAAAATCTCTGCTCCCTCCAGACGTGAGAGGGGCTGCGAGTCACAAACCTATCAAAAAGCATTCAGCCACAAGATGAAAGGTACTGACTGTGTGCCTCAGGACTCACAGGACCCTCAGGACATGACACCACTATTGCAGATTCTGTCACTCAAGCAGGGCCAGCCCTGCAGGCTCAATTATAAACTTGCAAAAGAAGGGACAGCACGGAAGTCAGAACTGTGCATTGATACTCTGGGGGCAAGCCCTAGGGATTATTTGGGTGGGCTGCATCAGCTGCAAAGCTTGACAGAGTGACTGAGCTTTCCACTTTCAAAGCCAGCACAGCACACACATTAAGAAGATACAGTACCTATGCTGTCCGTTGGTGGGTCAGCAGGAAGAAACCCTTGCTTTAGGAGCTGCATCTTGATTTCATTATTCTCCACCTGGACTTCAGACACCATGTTACAGGGTATGTATCCCTCTCTTCCTGCACATTCACCCCTGTAGAAGCCATCAGCATCCTTGTCTCCGCACACCTGCGAGGCAAAAGATAGGCCAAGGACTGTTGATGCTGCAGGGACCAAGACAGAAAGCAAAAGGAGAAAGGGAATCCAAAAAACTCCCAAGATGAGGGGGCTCTGCCTCCCAAGGTTTATGCTGTCCTTGGAACAAGAAATGGATCCACATGGAGCAGAAGACGTTCACCAAGGTCTGCTCCTACCTTCAGGATCTGCCCCTCCTTAAACGGGAGCTCCTCTTCTGCCGCATCAGGGTTAGGAGACATGGAAACAGGATCGTAATCAAACAGGGCCACAAATATTCTTATGCCATCATCTTTAACAGTGGTTTCTGAAGCAGAGCTCCTTGAAGGACCTAGGCACAGTCAGGGGACACACCAGAGAAGATGTCAGCACCACTTCCCTGCCACAGACCCGCATGGCTCAAGTACTGCCCAGCAGTCCCCCTATGCAATTTCCAGCAGCCTCTCTTGCTGCCAATTCTCCCCTCCTTCCCCACTCACCTGGACTGGAAAGCAAAGGCTTCTGCATTTGGCATCTTCTTAAGCTCCTGCTCCCTCTTCTGCTGGGAGTCTGCCAGGTAGCTGAGCCAGGCAGCTCCTGGCCCCTAGGATCTTTATTACCAGATGCCTGCAATAGGAATCACCAGAGAGTTAGTAGCAGCCTCTGCCTTCCAACTCATGTGAACAGTGCTCAGCCCAAACGCACTCCACAAAGAGCAGTGCATCCAAATGCAACATTCCTCTTCAGGGACACTTGAGAGCTGAAAATGCTATGGGAGTTGGAAAAGAGAGCTAAATGCAGACAGGCACCCTGCCTGACAGTGATGTGAGGATGCAGGAAAGGGCATTTCAAGGGAAGGCAATGACATTACAGTCATCAACTACAGAAAGCTTTCATGAATCAGCTTATTTCACCAGGGATTCTCATATGGGTCCCACAGTCTCTTGCTGTAGGTGGGAAGACCCAGTGTGAAAAGGAATACTGCATCGGTGACACTTGATCATTTGGCAGGAAAAGCAGAAGCAGCTAATACAAGAAAAGCCACGGAGCAGCACAGAACTACACAATCTCCCAGATATTCTTCCAGATGATCCTAGAGAAGGGTCCTTTCTCTGGACAACACTGAACAAAGCAAGATACAGGCAGGCCAGGGAAGCAGAAGGGAAGCTAACACCACTGCAAGCTGCTTCAAAGCCAGAATAGGAAAAGTCACCCAACCCTTTTGTGCAAGGAGGTGCTACGTATCCCCTTCCAAGGATGTTCGAGCCTCCTTCTCCAGCCAGGTGACTTACAGTCCTGCTCCCAGCCTTGCTCCTCAGAGCTGCTCTCACACCTCAGTGCTTCCTTCTCCTGGCAGAAGGATCGCAGGCGCCAGCTTGGAGACCCAGCCCACTCCATACCCTGCTCTTCTACTCTCTCCAGTCTGGTCAGGTTCCTTCTGCCATCTGTGTGGATAACTTCAGATTGACTGGAGCAATCGCTCCATTCCCCCTGACAGTTCTGGGCCCCTTCTGGCCACAGCCTGCTCTCAGGAGGGGATGAACAGGTCGAATCCTGATCGTCTTCAGAGTCATACTCAATGTCTATTTCCAGGCTCCCGGAGCTGGAGCAGTGTGCTGCCATCCCAGCAGGTTCTGCAAACCCTGAAACCACTGTTTTCCCATAGTTTCTTCGAGAGGCGCTTTGCCTAGCACGAGTGTACGCATCAAACCCCTCCTTACCAGCAGAGCTGCTCACAATGTTCAGCTCCTCCCGGAGGCTGGGAGCTCTGTACAACCCGCCTCCCATCTGGCTGCAGTTGCCCAGCAGACGACTGCAGTGCTCTGTGGAATCATTCTGTCTCTTCCTACCCATCTCAGGTCGACCCCGCATCTTCTCTCGATAGTTATTTCCCTTCTTCTTGCTCCGAGTGGGGCTTTCCCCACTCTCGGACTTCAGATCATTCTGTTGGTAGCCCCAGTTCCAGTTTGCCCTTTTCTGACTCCAGCTGGGGCTCATGTGGTCAGCACTCCCTCTACTCTCCTTAGCAGTCTGCTCCTCCCGTGGAGTCTGAGCAGACAGATCGGGGGAGGAATCACTACCATCTGCCTTTGGAAATGGATCCTGGGTGCTTAGTGGTTTCTCAGACCTTTCTGCAATGTATGTAGGTGCTTCCAAGGAGCCTTGAGGATTTTCCTTTTCCTCTGTAACACACTTCTCATCCTCATCCTCATCTTCATCCTCATCCTCAGTCACTTCAGGGATGCTAAACAATTTCTTGCTGTGGTTCTTCTGAAGTGGGAGCTCTAGTATCCTTTCCAGAATCTCCTCATCGCTGTCAGTATCACAAAGATCCATCTGTACCCAGCCCCCGAGAAAAGCCACAGCCAGGACAAGCAAAGGAAAAAAAGAGAGGAAATATGCATTAAAAAGAGAGATAAAGTTACAGGTGATTCCCTCCCAGCACAGCGATATGGAGCGGCGACTGTGGGCTGCAGAGAAGCAAGGGTAGGAAGCAAACGATAGCAATGGGTCTTCTGGCAAAAGACAATCAGATGAACTAGCAATGCAGTGGGAAGCAAGAAAGGCCAATGCATGGAAGAGCTCCCTCCCAGGCCCTGCCTCCACATAGACAGCTGTCTGCAACACCCTTTGTCCTGCCTGTTGGAACCCCCACAGCTCCACCACTCCCAGTCTGGATGGGGGACAGGAGCTGAACAGTTCCTCTGCAGCTGCTCATTGCACACTGGAGCTGCTCAGTGTCCAGGAACCTCTCTGCACACACACTCACAGCCTGTGACCACAAGAGGACCCATAGTCCTCCCCTATCTCTCCGTCCTCACAATGCAACGTAAGGAAATGACCCTGCACAGCAAAATCCTGTAGCTCCAGGGAGACATGCATGCTTCTATCTCACCTGAAAGCTTGGAAAGAGCCTACCAGGTCACAAAAACCTTTTGGAAAAAAACTAATGAATTTTAAAATTTGTTCTGAAAAACTGTCTACGTTATGTTTTACCTCCTATTACCTTTATACTAAAATAAAAAGGTAGAATCCCAGAAACAAAGCATAATTTAGGCTAGAAGAGATCTGGAGGTTTGTATTCCAACCTTCCTAACCATTTACATCATGATATGTTCTAAAAACATCTACAGGTTACAAAACTTATGTAGCTACTGATGCTTTAAGCTACAGCCATGAGGATGCCAACATACAGAGAACTAAAAACTGAACCACAGAGGGAGAAAAAGGCAGTTGTAAGCTGTCTGATGATCACTCCATCCTCCATAACTTTTTCCAAACAAAAGCTGGTCTTGAGTTGTATTTAGAAAGAGTTAGAAGTGACCTCTGGAGATCTCTAGTTGAATCTCCTGCAAGGACAGGACTGCATTATGTGCAATCTACTTGGCAGCAAGACTTTTGCCAACACTAAAGCAGTATAAAGTTGTGTAGCTGAGGATTGAAAATGCCAAAGAACAGAGCTCCTCCACCTCTGACCCACGAGATCTGTCCCCAGGTTGCAACTCTCACCTGGGAAAAGATTCTGTACTTCTGTCCAACATGAACCACACTGCAACTTGTGGCTGTTGCCTGTTTCTGTACTATTTGCCACCAACAAGAAGACTTTGGCACTCTTCTCCTTGTAAGCATCTTTCAAATAGTTGCAGGCAGCTACTGGATCTCCTCACTGCCAGACCAGTTTTGGGAAGCTTCCGAACACTCTCGCACAGGACATGCACTCTAGATTCCACCCCTTAAGCACTTGTTAGCAGCAATTATTAATACACAAATTCACAAATGCAACCATAAAAATCAGACCAGTAACACTTATTTCAGCTATTTATGGAGTTGTGGCCTTTGCTTTTGAGTTTTGGTACATTAAATGGTTCCTAGGGAGTTGAAGCTGCAGCTGTGTAAATGTAAAGAAGTGAAAGAAAGACAATGAAATTCTATAACATGAGAAGGATCTGGGACTCTGTAGTCCATTAATAATCAAGAAGAAAGCTAAATAATCTATTAGAAGTCAAACATATATAATCTATAATCAGAGCCCCTCCACTCCTTATCCTACAAATCCTAAAAGAGTTGGCTGAGGAGACACGAAATAAGCCAGAATGTTACTGAGCATGCAGAAGCCCAGGAAACTGCTCTGCTGAGGCTTGGCTGAACTTCTGCCATCATCTTCTCCCACACCACAGAGCAGTGAATGGAACCTGTGCCTCGTGGTTCGCTACCAGGCTCTCCTCAAGCTCCTGACATGCTGCCCTGCAGCTCCAACCTCCCCACCCCACCCTCAAGAAGGGGAAAAAGAGCAGCAGCAAATTTACTCCAGATTCATCACACATTCTGCTACTGACTATCTAATGCTCACCAGATCCACTCCATCTGTGTTGCAGGCTATGAGCTATAAAGGTCAGCAGCAGTGAACTACATCTGTTCTACATAAATTAGGACACATTCTTTTAATAAAGGCAGACCACATTTCCTTCAAATCTTTCTAATTTCTCAGCCATTCACCCTTCATAATTTCCCTCATGCATACTCATTTCAACTGTCATAATTTGTATGATTACATCCTACTTTCCAGTCATGCAGATTTAAGCACATTTCCTGATGCAGATGCATTGTAACACTCTAACTCGTTTTAACTGTTTGAACTTGTATATGTGTAAATCTCTCATGGTTCCACTTCAGCAGTCCTTTCTCACTTATAACATCTGAACTGCAAAGTCATGGCACTGTTCCCATGTGCAATCCACCCTCATTGAGAGCACGAAGATCTAAACAAAACCATCTGAACAAAGCTATTCATGTTCAGGAGTGTTTGTAGGACTGAAACCAAAGCATTAATGCCTCTGCTTTGCTTTTGGAAGGATGGTGGACTGGGACGAGATCTATAGACGGGCAGACTTCACAAACTCCTGTGTGCTCACTGTTTACATCTATATTAAGAACATGATCAATAGGATTGATTTTTCACCCTGGGTTCTAAAGTTCACATTACACTGTGTGTTTTTCCAACCAATTAAACCCTGAGTACATTTACTACTTACAAACACCCGCCGCTCTCACACAGAACTTGCATTTTACTGGCGTAAGACAACACTGAGAATAAAAGAAGAGCAGGCAGGAATTGAGCCAAGCACTGCTGAGAGAGCTGGGCTCAAACCAGCCTCTTCTGTGAGCTGATGACATGGGATGGCTGCACTGGCATTCCCCACAAGCATAACTCTGCTACAGGTTACCTTCTCCCCGTTCTCCCTGTAACAGGGCTCTCTTGGATCCCATTTCTTCTCATCCAGAGCTTCTGAAGACAGTTCATCTTCCTCTTCCTCCTCCAATATATCTGAAAGGTCTGAACTGCGGTTGTGCTCAGCAAAAAGAGTCAGCTGTCGTCTTCCTATTTCAGACATTTTTTCTTCTTGCTGTGGAAAAGCAAAGCAGACTTCTTTCAGGCACCCTGTCTATTTGAGCATTCATTCACTAGTACATGTGCAGGTCAAGAGTGGCAAGAAACAAAATGAACAGCACTCTGTGCAGCAACTGGCACATGCACACACAAACATGTGCACAGACACACAAAACTGACGGACACATTCCATTGCCTGCAAAGAAAAGTTTCACTTGAAATTGCAAAACTTAGGCACATCAAATACAATCCACATCCCCTCCATTGGCAGAAATCTATCCAAGGTAAAAACAAACCTCTCTTTTCACTCTGGACATTTCTTTCATCACCTCCTTGCTAGGTGATAACCTCAGGAACTCCTGGCAGCTGCTTCCAGCCATGTTTGCCTCTCGGGAGGTGCCCTCCATCTCCTCAGCCAGGTCGGGGGAGGGCAGGGGCTCTGGGCTCAAGTTCTTCTCCTTTGCTTCTGTCTCTCTTTCAGCACTGGGACTTTTTGGTGACTCCACAGAGCATGTATGGCAGGTCTCCATGCGTATCTTCAGGCTACTGTTAGTTGGGCTTTCTAGCTCTGGCATTTTGGTTATGTTTTGCTCCAGCTGGGAAACAAACAAACAAAATTCATCACCAGGATAACCACAGCACCTGTTGCAGGACCATTCCTGAGCCCCCAGGTGCACGCTCTATTTCCGTTCCTCTGCAAAGGACCATTAAGGACAGTTTGAGATGTTCTTGGTGTCTATGCCAGCAGCCCAGAGGCCAACGACAGCAGTCTGTGGCTCTCCTTCCCCCCAGCCCCTTCTCGTCAAGGAGCAAAGAAACTCAGGGGAGGCACCATCCAATATTTGTGAGCCAAAAGGGCCTTCAACTCCCAAACTGTCAGAAACACCACGTGTTCTGTGTCAGTGCAGGAGGATCCTGGCAGTCAACTGGTAGCCTGAAAGGCTGGCCAGCTTTGAACTAACTCTTCCCTACTATGAACTGCAAGTGGACACAGGGCACTTCTGCTATAGCACTCTGCTTTGCGCACTGCACAGCCCTGCACAGTTTTACAGCAGCAAGAGCAAGATGAGTCCAACCTACACAACCAGGCGATTTCTCATTCTCTCATTCCAGAGGAACATCCTAAGTACCAGCTTACAGCATAGCTTGAGCTGGAGGTGAGGGCACTACCCCAGCTCTTCTTGGGGCTGCTGAGTGCTGTGAAGAAGAATATACACAGAGTACAACGGTGTACTAACAGCACAGTAGTTAGGTCACTTACTTAAATTACAGAGATTTTAAATCTTGCTTTCTGCCCAATAGTTGTTTCTGCCTTTTATGACCAGTCATCTTAGTCTGAGTTTTATGGAAATCTCTGGGAGATGGAGGAGTGAACCCCCAAAAATGATGAGAGTAAGGCAGGTGGGCTTTCATCAGTCACCTCCTTTGCTAGCTAGTTATCTAAAAGACAGCTGCACTGCAACGGAGTGCAACTGTGGCTTAGGCATACTTTGAAGATGTCTACACAAACAGACTTCTGAGGAGATTTACACTGCAGTTTCAAAATGTCCCCTGGACTCAGGCCAAAGTTAGGCAGGCCTGGACCTCATATTTAACCTACCAGGTAAACTCCTATTGCCCTGCTTCCCTTTGTTAACAGCTGAATGAAGACAGACATCTCAAGCAACAAAGATGATTTGTGTCTCTGAAGCACCAATTTTGTTCTTCTGACTACAAAGGAGAGAAAGCAACTCAGTCATGTGCAGCCATCTACACCAGACATCTAAATGTGGGCAAATGAATCAAAATGACTGACTTGTGGTGCCAGAGCAGCAAACGAGTGGAGCATGGAAAATGACAGCTGTAATTTTTGATTCAATGTCTCAATTTTATTAAGTATTTATGTGGCCTTTGATCTCAGGCCCACACAGCTGCTGATGCTTAAGCAGTTAAAAAAGTCTTCCTCCCTTCTACCCAGCTCTGAGCTCACACTGCCTTCATTAACAGTCTTGCTGAATTTGATGGTCTGAAGCACTTTTGTGAGCCTCTAGTCAGCATGAAAGGTGAGAATGGGGAAAAGATAACTTTCCCTGATATAACACCTCACATAGCAACAGGACCTACTTCCCTCTCGTCACAGAATGAGCACCTTACAGACAGTTCACCTCTTTTCTCAAAGACCTCCCAGACACTTCTCACCACCATCTTAAAAAAGCTTTGAAATCACCCATCTACCCCAGAGGCTTTCAAATGCCCAATGTCATGACAGCTTGCCAACTCTCCTCCAGACAAGGCTAGGCAGCCACTAAGGTGCCCCCATTTGCTGGAGTGTTTGCTCTGCAATGCCCAAATCCACCAGACTGGAGATGATTCCTGCAAGTCAAAGACCACAGCAATGCCAAATCAACACTGACATCACCATTAGTGAGAAGATCCCTTTCAGCACCCAGCCCAGAGGAATTCATGCTTTCCTGATTCTGTTCCTGCCCTGCCTGTACACATGTGACCAAGCACTGAGATTCAACTGCTCTTTCACATATACAACACTCTGCTGATTTGCCAGCCACTGGATGGCTGCACGCTAGCAGCTTGCTGTTACATTCCCCTGAATGATTCATTCTCCTTCCCAGCAGTACTGGGCAGGAGACGTCATGTACTTACCAGCACTTCTGTCCCTTCACCCAGGCTTTCCAATTCTGCTTCCCTCAAGGAGACAGGGTCTGTGCCCTCACCCGAGAGTTTTGTGCTGCCTGCTTGCTGAGGAGGCACAGTCAGGCATTTCTTGTCTTGTGCAGCGTCTGATCCCAGCAGGGAAGTGCCTGAGGTGTGCACCAAGGGAGCGCTGGACAAAGAGAGCTGCGGCAGCGAAGAGGCTTTCTCTGGCAGAGATCGTGCTGAGCCATCGTGGCTGGAGGAGAGATCAGTCAATTTGGCATCTGAGCTACCAGTGGGGACTTTTTGTTGAAGCAGGAGAGCAGCCATGTGGTGCGTGGGTGGGCTGCGTGCAGGCAGAGAGCCTCTGGATTCCCCACAGGGCAGTCTAGAGGTAAAAGTAGTAGAACCAGCAGAATCTGAAGGTGAAGAACAATGAGAGGCTCTCAGCAAGACTGAGGAAATCTGGGCTGGAACTGAATCCACTGATTCTCCATACGGGGACATTGTTCTCACAGAAACCTCCCGGCATGCCTGGAACATCTGAAGCTGGGACAGGTCCACAAGGACACTCCCGGCCGTTGGAGAAGTAACTTCTATTGCCTGCAAGCAAAGAAGCAGGAAGCAGTTAATTACAGTGTGCAGCTCAGTATTTCTGAGAAGGGCAGTTCTTGAACCCAAAGTTAGCTAAAGCTGTTTCCACCCTTCTGCACAGTAACAACAAAGAATGAGTGGTACAGAGAAATTGCTGCTGTTACTATCTGAGAAACTGGATAGTCTATAAAGTAAGACTATCTTCTCTTCTGCTCCAGGTGTAAACCATTTTTGTTCACTGCACTTTAGAAGGCCACCTTTTTTTTTTTTGCCTCTTTTTCACTCTGGCAAAACTTTTCCATATTTGTTTTTTTGACGCATGCTATGGAAGAATTTCCATGACAAACAGCAGTCATCCAACACAGCACCACTCCGTTCAGTGTTGTGCTCCTTTCAGGAGCTGTGGTTTACCTCCCCCATGGCTGATGGCACACCATCATGCACACATAAAACTGCAGGCCACCTGCAATACAGAAAATCCTTGGAGGTTCTTTATTGGTATTCATATTGGGTGTTTGGGCATCTCTCCCTTCACCTATTCCTAATTTAAAGAACTACACCTCACTCCTCATAGTTTGAGACAAGTCCCAAGCGCTGCCAAGGCTGTCTGCTTCTCTCTGCCCATCCCACAGAAGTTATAACTCACTGTGACACCCAGCAGTGCTCTTTGTGGATTCTCACTGTTGTCACTCTGAAACAGTCAGAACGTGTGTTCCCCACAAACCCACTGCTTCCCCAAGAATCCAGCCAGTGCCCAGAGTGAGACAGAGGAGGCTCACACTGATTCTCCAGTTTTGCTGGTGAAGGGTCCTGCCACGGAAACTTTTATTATTCACTTACATCAAGAGCACATCAGCAATCTTGACAGATGCCTTTTTCTGGTAGGCATCAGCCAAAAAAAACCCACCAGCCCAAGCACTGTACCTTTTCTGATATCATTCCCCTCACCTTCTGTCCATCCGCATACACAGCGTAACCGGTGACTCGAACTCCGTTGGAAGATCCTTCAGCATCAATAGTGACAGGTAACCAGCTGATAACAAGGATTCCTGGAGAGGGACCAACTTCCACCTGGACATCCAGAGGAGCATCAGGTGTGCCTGGGAAGGATCAAAAGGATCGTTTTCTTGCTTACCTCACTACAGCATCACAACAAGCTAAACCCCGGTTTGTATCTAAGAGAAAACTCTCACACCAGACCTGCCGCTGCAGAACTGCACTGGAATGACTACACTGGCTTCCTGGGAAGTGACAGACAAAACCAGAACAAGTAAGGTGCTCTGACTCTGGGAAAGCTTTAAAGCACAGAAAACAAAACTTTGCAAAAGTAGCTGAGGCCAAGATGCAGCAACCCTTAGAGCAACATGAGTGCAGGTCACAGCAAACCAGATTGTTCATACCCTGAGAGGCATGCTGCTCAAATCAGCAAAGGGGAGGTCTCTCAAGAGCAGATGAAAACAGAAGAGATAATAAACTCTTAAAATAAAAGAAGTATTAAGACAAAACAGGATACCTCCTCACACTCTGGGACCTGACAAGCTTTGCTTCCGTTCACCCCAAGGCTTTACACCAAAGAACTGGCAAAGCTTTCTGTCCCAAGCACTCCCTTCACAATAGCAATGGGCACAACTACTCTGATACCTGCTAGCGGGGTAGTGAAGTGTATCACAGCTGAGTTCTGCTCCTGCCCCTCTGAGACCTCTTCCCACAGTGCTCTCAAGGGACGGGCCTCCAGCTTGGCAACATACTGAGTGTTGGGCTGCAGGTTGCAGAAGGTGTACCAGTAGACCCCTGGTTTTGTTACGTCACACTCCTCCCCATTCAGATACACCGCGTGGTTGTAATTGCTGTTGCAGGGAAGCCACGTGACCTCTGCTGACGTGGCAGTGACGTTTCTGACTTTCAGCACAGTCGGTGCCACACACAGATCTTGCCCCACAAAGAAAGTGCATCGCAGTTTATCAGAACTGCCCTTCTCTGTCACACTCTGCACAGACACACGGTAAGCCTTTGTCTTTAAATCCAGCTTTTCAATCACTGCTTTGGTCTGAAAGCCACTCTTCACATTTTGCCGTAGCTCTTCATCCACATAGATATTGTAGCTCTGTATGTCTGGGCAGCCAGCAGGCAACAGCGGTGGTTCCCAGCCTACAACTACGCTTCTGGCAAGCTGCTTGATCAGAGTCAATTTTCTCGGGTAAGGCACTGCTGTGTGACTAACACGTTCCTCCCGGTCTCCTTCTGCTCTACTGACCAACGGACTGATGCTACTCTCTTCAATGGAGAAATCACTCTTATCTCCACTGCTGGTGCTTGCACTGACAAAACTTTTCTCCTGGTATGAACTATGGGTGAGATCATTCAGCTCCGAAGGCAGAACCGTCATGAGGTCATCATCTGAAACTCGCTCAACAAAATTGGAGGGGACCAGCCCTCGCCGGCCATCCATCAGCTCCCCTAAACAAAAAACAGGAAACCTGTTACCACTGCACCTACCATTCAATCTTCCAACCCATCTGTGAAGACAACCTGACAACATCTATACTAGGTCATAACTGCACTGCAGTCAGGAACAAAGAAAGCTCTGGGAGGTTATCCTGGGCAACTTTACTCCATTTCCTAGAGCTGCTCTACTTACATCCTGATGTCCACTGTGAGAAAACTCACTGCTCTACACACTTCACAGTGAGCTAACCAGAAAGTGTTTTACGTAATTAGCTTCATGTTTTTCCCTTGTTTATTATTCTGTTGTTTCTCAACACAGCTCTTTTACTAACTTCAACGTCTTTTTTTCTAGTTTTCCCAAACTATGCACATTGTACATCTTCTCCCAGCCAAACATATTTGGTTTTCACAGTAATTCCTTGTGAAAGTCCAACTTTCCAGCTGCGTATTCAGACCTGGCTCCATTGTTATATCAGCTTATGTAATAAAGATGTCCCAAAAAGACCCACTGGGATGACTGAGAGCACAATATTGATACGTGCAAGAACCATCAAATCAGTGTCAAATGAGCAGTGCGTAGGGGTTGTACATAATTTGACATTCTACCTACAGCAAATCAATTGGAAGCAGGGAAAGCAGAAAAGATTAGTAAAGAATAACCTGTTTATTCTTTAAACAATAAATAAACAAACAAATGAGAAGCTTGGAAATAGAAGGAATGAAAGAGCCAGAACAGTCAAGGAGCAAGCAGTGCAACATGGCATGCATTTGCCTCAGCTCTTGCAAAGCACCTGAGTAAATCAGGACCCTACATCTACAAGGAAACTTAATTACAGATTTACAGTCCAGATTTCCTGCTTTCCATTCCATCTGCCTAATAATCACCTGAGATCATGTTTTCAAAAGAAAATATGTCAAAAGAGAAACTTGCTGCCAAATGCCAAACAGGACAAAGACTGTGGTTCGGGCTGCTTAGCTTACACCTTACTTGCCAAATAGAGTACAAGGTAATCAAGACTATCAGTTGCCCACGGTGCTGGGTTCAATACGCAGCCACTGGGAAGAGGGTAAGAGACTACCTGGAGAAGGAATCCATGGGCTATCCTTGGACAGGGAGGAACAACACGCAGATGAAACCTGGAACTCTGTTGAAAGTAGTGGCAAAACTGCCACTGAATTCACCAGACCAGGATTTCATGCTTCAGGCTTAAATTAATCATGACACGAATCAACTCTTCTAACAGGTCCTGCTCTCCTCTCTATTAAACTAACTTTGGACAAAAACAATTTATCTTGAGGTTTTAGGATTCACTAAATTCCTCTCATTTTTTTCTTTTTAAGAGAGCAAATCTGCACTGCAGTTCAGTCACATTCCTTTTCCACTAGAACACACCTTCAAAGAAGCCATCTTCATCCATGTCTCCATAGATGTAAATGTACTCTCCAGCAGTTAGTGGAAGCTCTGCCTCTGGATTTTCATTAGGTCCATCAAAAGGATTGTAGCTGAAATAGTTACAACATGAAAACTCACTTCATACACCAGTTTTCACAGCAACATCTTCAAGCTGTGCTGCTGGATCAGCTTACAGCTCAGCAGCAAATTCCACAAAGGTCAAGGCTTCAGTTCAGTGTGTTTGTATATAACTAATACCACACTGCTCCGTGTCCAAACAGCAGGTAGGAATGCTTTTCTGAGTAGCAGAACAGATGTCTTGAGACATCTGAAAGAACAGATCAGAGCGACTCAAGTAAGTGTTTTAACAACGTATGAACTACCTGAGTGCCTGAATGTGTCAAGTAAGCTGTAGGATTGTACATTTCCAATTAGACATCCTTGGATTCCCTTGCATCTCTTAAATGTACACATCACCCCACATTTCTGGCAAACCAGAGCTTTAAATTGAAGTGCCAAAAGCACATGGAACATACTTCATGCACCACAAAGAATCTCAAAATTCCCATATTTAAAACCCTAAGAATGAGTTGATTTGTGCAAGAAGAATGTTTGTGTATGAATGAAGAAAACATTTGCTGCCTTTTACTTTGCAATTATCCAGTTCTTTGCCTTCAAGTTATACAACTCCACACTCTGCATGGCAGTCCAAAAACACACTGAAGTGGTAAATAAGTACGTTGGTGATAGGTGGCAGGCTCCAGGTAGCTCTAAGTCACCTACCCACAGGTCCTTGAGCTGATCAAGAGGACTTTTAGAGGAAAGAGTCACATGAGAAATCTTGTATCCACCTACTGCCCACACCTGTTGTTTAGTCCTTAGAAGGGCTTTCAGCATGCCAAAGAAATGCTATCCTGTCTAAGCTGAGTGAGACTTTACGGGCCTAAAAGCAGCACATGAAAACAAAGATCATATTTGATCTGCTCCTAAAAAAGAATCATCCCACTTCCTCCCAGTCCACAGACTAAAAGCTGAATGACATGGCAGTATTCTAGGAACTGTAGAAGAGGATTTGATTTGACCACAGCAGCTCAACAGATAGCAACAGTGATCTGCAAACTCTTGCTTCATTCTTTGCTTCTTTGTTACTACATTCTGTAACAATCAACACGGATTTCAGCCAAAAGCTTAGATTTGGGAATTCCGTGCTGATGTTTTCCGAATGGGAATAAGATTTCCTTGGAGAAAACTATTAATCCAGCAGAAATCAAACCAGGGAATGGATCAGTTCAAATCTCTGTTTTCTATCCAATACTATTTTCATAAGAAAAGTTGCAGCCAATGCTGTGCCTTGAATAGCTAATTATCTTGCTATGTTTTTGTTGAGCTATATGCACAGGATTTGCTTGTGTAGGAAATAGAAGCCACAAAAAAACCCCTAACCTAACAGCAGAGCAGTTAGTGCCACAGAACAAAATAACTTGTCTAACCTCAGGGAGCACAAGAGATGACATGATACCTGTATCGAGCCAAGAAGACCTGGAGCTTCGCAGGGCCTTGGCTGCCTGGCTCTGGCATCAGAGAGATGCTGTCAACATCCAGTTCTTCCATTTCACTTGCAGTGTCCACCTGAAATTATAAAATGAAAGATGAAGGATAAGACATGGCCAAAACCAGAATAAAGGAACACTCAAAGAGTTCCAACAGCAGTGAACAAATCCTCTAAGCTGATGGAGGAGGAGAATTTGGCCACTTGGATAAGGGCTGTCTGGAACTATCATTTTTAGAGTGAAAAAGCAGTACCAAGAAACACAGCTCCAAGCTGCAATTTCAACAGTTCCAGGTGAACATTAGCAAAAGCTATTCACTCAAGAAGGTAATGCAACCTTGATGTCCATAGAGCTGGGTGATCTCAGCTAAATAAAGCCATGGTCACACTGAGGCAGTGCTGGTGGCAGACCCCATGGGAGTGGGAAACCAGACTTGAGATTCTCAAAAGCCCCCTTCACCCTACATATCTGCAGTGCAGTATAATCACTTCCTGCCAGATCCAAGTCTTGTATGAAATATAAATGGTAATCTGAACAGAGGCAAAATGACATTTGTATCCGATCTCTGCCATTCAGTCAGTCCCCTGTAGCACCTGTATATGCTTCAGTATAACATTTATGTACTTTCAGAACATAAAAGTGCCCTACCAACTCAGGCCAAAGCTCTACCGAGTCCAAACACCCGGCTCTGATAACAGTAAGTTGTACACACAGAAGGAAAGCATACAAGAGGCAGAGCAAGCATGCAGTTCTCATCTTTTTGTGCAGCCTCTCAGTTGCTAGCAGTGATCTACAGAAGAACTTCCAAAGCTGGGTCTGTACCATGTATTGCCAGAAGAATCTTCCAGATAATTGTCTCAAGCTTTTATGACTGACATTTTGAAACTTCACATCTAATGGCAGCAAGTTACATAAAGCAATCATTCTTTCTGAAGAAATGCATTTCCCTTGTGTTTGTTTGAAATGCTGCCAGTGAATCAATTTGAGCTAATTTTAAAACACACCTCAAGGCAAATGTATTTTTCATGGAGGTCCATTGCAGGCACCAGAACACACAGCAGATCTTTTTCTAGTACATGAACTGCAAAAGTTAATATTTTGAACAGTTCAGAGACTCTTTTCAAGGTTTTGTGCTCCTTGAAATGGAGCCCTGCACCATGCCCCCAACAAACAGCTGCACTCTGTTACACCCAAAGGCACAGAAGTGGAATAGCTTTTAAACATGTCTAACACCCTGGAGTATTCCCATACTCCTGTGCTGCTGAAGCCAAACACACCACAGATTATCTCCCAAAGAATGACTGTTCTTACGTCTGCATGGACGCATGGTGGCTCTCAATTCTTCTTTCACACTGAATAACAGCAATTTGTCCCACTACAGAGCTGGCAGTAGTCAGATATGCTTTCCTTTCCAGGTGTGACCTTCACTTTGTTGCTGAAGATGACAGCTTCTCAGGCCTCACACAGCGGTGGGAACTGCCTGCCACAGCAGCATCTATCACCAGTGTCCTGGCTCTGTAGCTCAAGTCCTCGCTGTTCTCTATTGTACCATGAGGCATTCCATGTAGCCTCCAAGGTTTTAGCACTCAGTGAACATCAGTGGTTTAAGAGAAAGTGAGCTGTTTCCCACATCATCACACCCAGCCCCACTCACAGTGCTAGCTTAGCCTAAGCTGTCACATCAATTGTACAGCAGTGTATGAAAGACTGCTTAAATGAACCCTATATAAGTGCTCCTGGAAAAGAGAAGCAACTGCCAGCTATTAGATCTTGGTGGCACTAACAGGCAAAGCCTATTAACTTCATCCCTTTGCTAGCACAAACTTAGCATCTTCTCATGGTGTCTTACAAATAGAATTATCAGACCTAGGAGTGCAAGCCAAGAACCTTGAGTTCCTGAGGCAAAGTTCTTCAGCATGCTGAAATTTTGTAACTTTTCCATTTGCTACCATGACTGAGGTGTCAGATGGTGTCCTTACCACAGCTTCCCCACAGATCCCTCCAACTGAGCTTCCCTCCTGCCTTCTCCTCCACGCCCACTTGATTCCTTCCTAGAGCACTGCAATACATTCAGATGAGCATTGCAAATGTGGGCATCCAAGGCCTTCTCGATTTTTCTTACAGGCTTTCACTTGGCTCATTACAGTTTTCTTCATTTAGCTGGAGAAATGCAATGCACCTATTCACTATTGGCTAGAAAGGAGAGGCCTCAGTGGGAATTCCCATACCAACCTCTGGTGTTGGGCAGGATTTGGAGCTGTTCTGCATGGATTCTGATTTTGAAGAGCTCGACTGAGATTCGACTTTCTTGGCTTGTTTCTGAGAACTGGCAACAGAAACTGGGGAGCCAGCAGCAGCCTCAGGCACCCGCTGTGACAACTCCGACTCATTGGTCTCCTCATTGTGAACCTTCTTTGTGCTCTGGTGAGCAAGCAATGCAGAACCAGATGAATCTGAAACAAAAGCAATCTATCCATTACTTTTAGCCACAGGCAAAATACAAGATCAGCAGTGAGCATGAGAATGAGCAAGCACCCTTCAGAGTAGCTCAGGTGAGATTCATTTAACAGTGCAACAGACTGAAAACCCTCGGCTCCCTTTAGTCAGAGGAACATCAGGTTCTCTCTGTGACTACAAAACAAACCACGAGTATTTATGAGAGAGAGAGAGAACCCAAGAGTTAACTAAACATTTGCATTACTTTCTTGACACCTTCCCATCTATCCAAATAACGACACGCTTGGCAAAACACCCGCAGGCACCTCCAGCAATTACCCTTCTCCCAGTGAGGCTGTGGGGTAGAGCTGCACAGCGCAAGAGGAAGTTCAGAAGTCACAAGTGTGGAGGTGAGAAGGTCAATTTTTCCTGTCTGAAGTCGGAATTGTTTGAGCTCCTGGGACAGAAGGCTGAACTGCTCTGTTTGACTGCGGCATTGGTCTTCTAGATCCTTCACCCGAGCCTGATAGGAGAGACACGAGATGAGACACAAACCCGCCACATCAAAACCACCACTGGGTCTCCAAACAGCATTTGTCTTTGCTACATCTCTTCAGAAACAGAGTGGGTCTCAAACTCCCACCTAAAGGACCTAAAGGTACGCCCTGCCCAGGAACAGTCAGTAGGAATTGGCAGCTCTACACCTGCATTATCTTTGAAAATCTGTTAGAAGACTGATTAAAAGCACAATTAGGAATTATCCCTAAATGTTGAGTTTGAACTCAATATCCTAACTTAGCCCTGCACATGAAAGAATGAGAGAGTAAAAGACAAATAAGTCTTGGAAAGAAAAAGCCCAATACATCTTTGTAGGTTTACTGGAGCATTAACATCACACCTCCAGAAGGAGCTGCTCTCCCAATGCTCTCTCTCTCCATCACTTTAGCACTCCCAGGAAGCCCTCATGACCTTATCCTGGCCTCCCCACAAACCCTCCTGGGATGAACTCCCTACTGTCCCTTCAGACCTTGCCTCCTTCCAGGCAAAGAGCATCAGCAAGGCCCACACTGCAGAACGCCTGTGCAATGCAGGCAGCCACACAATTTGCCTTCAGGTCCTACAGGAATGACTTGCTGCAGGAAAACGCAGGCTGAGTACAAGAAAGCTACACCTCAACAAGACGAAATTCAGGGGAGCACTGGGGAAATACTGTAGAGAGACTAATTCCTGCTAGCTAACTCTGTATCTGTTTTCTAGTGTTCTCCTTCCACCGTCTCTCAATCTCCCCATTCTGAAACACTGCTGAGTCCTGGTTCTCCTTGCCCAGCCTCACATGTTCCCTGACTGCAAGCATTCCTAGCAGAATGCAAAGGCACCTGTCCCTTTTCCTCCTCTCACTCTGGCCACCATATACCTGCTTGCTCTGCTATCCCAGACAGATATCTCATCTTTGCTGCTCATGCTCTTCAAGTAATAAACAAATATTAAGTATTAATGCTGGTTGCAAATTTCCCAATTTCTTCAGTTGAATTCTGTGAGATAGAAAGTCTGTTTTTAAGCAACTCTAAAAATACCACTTCTGACCAGGAAAAGGCTTTCTTTCTGGTCACAGAGTACTGCACAATTTTACTAGCATGCTCTCTGCCACCTTCCAAGCATGCATGCAGTTTTATCTTAGCATAACATGTCTGTTTTAAACTTGTCAGTTTATCCCTTGTTTCCCCTCAAGCAGCAGAAGCTCTCAGTCTTCAGGAACTGCCTGTTGATGTCTCTGAAGGAGTAACTGCTTCTGCACTGAAAGAGAGCAGTACATGTCACAAGCAACTCCCAGAAGCATCTGCATTCTCCACTTGCTCAACTTGCTGACTGAAGTCTCGTTGTGCAGGACTCCTTCGCAACAGAACACATACGTCCTAGCAGACTACTTGCACAGGGTCACACAGGGCAAGGCAGGCAGGAGGCTTTAGGGCAGCACTGGGAGGCCAGGGCACAAGGAAGAGGAGCCTAAGGACAGGGCCTGGAGCTGACAGCACCAGCAAGGATCTGGTCCCAGACACAGAAGATAGAGGAGACTTCTGTGTCCATGTCTAACCCTAGAAGGAAAGTAAGAGAAGCCACACGCCAAGCTGAGATTGAGCAGTGTGATTACCAGAAAAGGCTGCAAGAGCAGGGAGCAGAGCTTGGAGGCACAGTTTAACCACCAATCCAGGAATTTAATCTGAGTTTCCTCAACGAGCTAGAGCCAGCTCAGCCCTGTTCTCTTAGGCACCCTCCTGCTCTATCAGAATCTCCTCCTGTAGGTATTCTCCATGTTCCCCTTGCCATCTCTCTCCAATTCTTTTGCACAGTCAATGTTATTTAGTCTCCCCATTTTTCTTCAGACCTTCTCACAGCTCTCTGCAGTCACATCTGAAGGGGACTGCTGACAGCTGTTTTCTATCAGATACAAACTACTACTTCAATATAAGACCTTATTCTAAATCTGTCGTGAACCAGCACCGCTCCTGGACTGCAACACCTTAATTACTTCACTAGCTCCTGTTTCTTCCTTGACACTATTATTCACAATCTCTGCTTCCTATCTTCCAGCCAATTACAAAACCAGCAGGATCTTTATTTTCTCTGTGACACTTTCACGTTGCCATTGCTTTTAGGTTTTGAAAGAAATGTTTCATTCCAGGACTGCAAACAGTTCCCAAAAGACCTTCAAATACATGCAGCACATGGAAGAAGTGCACAGTTGGACAAAACAGAATTGTCTGAAAAAGCCCAGTAAAAGCTTCACGTTCTAACTGGTTGAGAAAGCAAAGCATTTGAACAGGAAATCCTCCTCTGTGCAACTCATTGTGAAAGCTCCTTTAATTACATTAATTTCTTGAAGGTGACACTCTTGCAATCTTTTCCAGAGTATAATTAAAACAGGAATACCAATTAACTGTCAAAGCCAGGACAGAAGAGAAAAATGTCCTGCTTGACAGGATTATTGCAATACCTGCATGCAATCCAAAGTACTCTGATAGCAAGGAGAAAAGCAAAAAGAGATATAAAATCACATCAGAGGTTACACTAGCCACAATCTAACAACCTGCCAAAGGCAACGGACCCTCAGTTTGAATAAGCCTGTTTTCTCACTGAGTTTGGGTCTGCCTTATTCTGTGCTGGGATTTCCACCCCCACACAACCATGTTTTGTTAAACAAAAGCCAAATTCCACATATCAACTCTAGAAATGAGGTAGCTATGCACTTTTTGAGGGTCTCCAAATCACAATATGTTTTGAACAAAAAAGATCAGCTGCTCAAGCTGAACAAAACAATCGCCCTCCTCCCTTCTCAGCACACATAGATGTCTAGTTTAAGCATAAGCAGCTGCTCCAATCCTTTGATGAATTAGTTCAGAAAACCTTTGTCAAGAATGAAGCCTCCCCCCCTTAAAGGCTGCTTAGCATCCCAACAAGTAAATTCCCAGTGACATAAAAGCAGCACCTGTGTCACCTCTGACCCCGTGTCTGCAGTCAGTAAACGTTCCAGAACGAACATGGAAATGTAACATTATATCACATCACTTCCCTGCCATATCCGCCCAACTTGCAACAATTTCAATGCCAGCTAATAGGAGCCAAGCACTCTGGGAATCTTCAATTCATGCAGGTCATGCCAACTCCAGCCACAGAGAAATCTCCTCAGTCAGGGACACTTAGCATCCTGCTCCACCCTCCTGGGCTCCTAACAACCACAGAGCAACTGCACAGCGGTGGCCAAAGCAATTCAGCCTGTCATCTCCTACTGTGTGTCACCATTGCTGAGAAGGCCGTGGCCTCCTTTGTATGAAATCTCACTGTCCAGGTGCAAAATGAAGCATTCTGCCTTGTCTCGGGTATTTGGGTATTCAGAAAACCCCAAAGGACAGAGACAACAGAAGTTGCTCCCTGTGCCATCACACCTATCCCCATTCTCTTCAGGCATGAAATTATCATGTCAAGTTTCAGGGTTTGGTGCTCTGCCTTACAGCTCCAGGAATCCACAGCAAAGCTTTTCTCCAAAGTCATCTTGGAGCAATGAGTCATTGCACCTGCCTGCCCTCCCTGTTACGCTGTCTGCCACCACGGCAAAGTGAAGTCAGTGCTGATGTCACCACACTCACACAGTTGGTCCCAGACCAGCCAATGGGACAAGGTGCTGCCTCAAACCTTATCACTCATTATGCTTGGTCATCACTCAATAGGCAATGGCCACATTTCTCTTTTTTTTTTTTTTTTTCTCTAATAGAAAGTACAGAGCCTGTACACACAAATATCAAATGACATGGACGTAAGTATTCTTCCTCCCTGCAGATGGCCCTGAAAATGGAGCAGATGGATCTGAAGGTGGTTACTTAATGCATCCCTGAAACAGTTGCTGGGCACAGTCTAAATGAAATAAGCCATTTGGTGACAGAGCAGCCTGGGATTTAACAGAAAACTCGATCCCCAATGACTACTTTGCCAGCACAGACAATAATTGTACACAGCAGCTGTGTCAAATCAATACAGTGTCATATTCTACTCAAGAACCAATAAAATCCAGGGCATCAAGAAAACTCGCATTAAGAACAAACAACACAAAGCCTAAAGCTACTAATCCATCTCATTTCCTTTCATCTTACCTCTAGAAGCTGTACTGCTCCTTCATGTTCTCTTTTTGCCTCTGCCTGTGCCTAAAAAATGAGAGATAGAGTAAACAAGAAAGCAGCATACCTAAACTCACCTCTATTATCACCACCACCTTGACAGACACCATTTCAGATTTAAAACACCATACTGACTGAAGACATCCTTGGTCTATGGACAGACAGACTGCCTCTCCTGGGAAAAATCCCCCGGCTCCACTCAGGTACAAGGGTTGGCACACACAGAGACATTCATCCCTGGCTTCCCTCATTTAGTAGACTCACATGTATTTCCTCTATACACCACTTCTCCAAGGAGGTAAAGTGCAGCAGTCCTACCTCTTTCCAGGGATCCAGAGAGTACCAGTACCTTCTCCCCCATGCTGCATACCTGCTGCAACCGCCTGACTTCCTCTTGCTTCTCCTGCAGGACTAGCAGTGCTTCCTTGTGTTCAGCTTCCAGCAGCTGCCTTCGCTCAGCCACATCTCTCATGTGCTGCAGAACGATTCACAGGCAGTTTTAGGGCAACATTACTGAAATATTGTCCTGTGTCCTATCGTGAGTCATAGAATCAATACATGGCCTGTATTTCGCACATCATTAATCAGAGGAGAAAGTAAGAAATTCCTACTAAACCACAGCAACATAAAGAGAATCCTTAAATCAGTGATGGCCACCTTATGTCCCCTCCCACCCAAATCCCTGCAGCAGCCCAAGCCCCTCTGTTGACTTTGGAAGGCCATGTTCCAGGGTACTGCATGGCAGAATCCCCAGAGGAGCACCAACTCAAAAGAGTGGATTAGAAAAACCAATACAACAGAGACAGTCTGTGCCATCCAAAACCAGCATTATGGGTCTGGACAGTCCTCCCAGCTGCGTGGGTCCCACTGACCTTCAGCACCTGCTCTAGATTCTCCAGCTTGGTTTGAAGTCCTTGATTTCTCTGAATTACTGAATCCCGTTCCTTAGTAACCAAAACAACCTGCAGCTTCAGGTCAGCATTTTCAGATTCAACCTGAAGAGAAAGGATTGTCAATTAGCACAAGTAGCCATAGGTATTTGTTGTATAAATAATGGAGGGCAATTTACTTTCATATCTCAAGAGGTTGTTTTGCAGACCTGCTTCCTCCTTGCAATATCAAAATCACCAGCCTCCTCTCCCTCTGGTTTCCACTCAAAACAAATACTCGTGTATTTATTGCACACACTGCTTCTCCCACTGGGCTCTCTGTTGCCGGGGTGAAGTAATTGGGATATGAAGCAGCTATCTACTGAAGAGATACAAACAAACCACACAAGCTCTCAGAGCTTTTTTTTAATTCTAAATAGTGGGATTAAACAAAGAAAAAAACAAGATAATCTGTTCAAACTGCATTTACCTCCTCCATTTACCACTGGAAGTTCCACTAACACATTTCGAATCTGCAGTGCACTACGGCTTGATGACTACCAGCAATATTACCAACTAAAGATAAACACCTGCACTAAGTATGCTGCGTACTTCTTCTAAGAAAGTTTTACAGAAGGCAATGTCCCACTTGGCAAACAAGAACACTGCTTTTTACCTGTCCTGCCCATCCGGCCTTCTCATTCAGTTGCAAGTTCTCCTCGGCCAGTCGTGCATTTTCACTCTGTACCTCCTGCAGCTGGATCTCCTGTCACAAACAGCAGGTGTCACTACACCAGCGTCCTCAGACTGACCCTCCCACCTTGTCCTGCAGCATGGCTCCACTGCTCCTGTTGACTGATGGTTCAGGATGCTGACAGGATGCTGCTTGTGCAATGGAAGATATCAGTATACAGCACTGCTCAGGCAGATACCAGCTTCAGTAGCAGATGACCTCTTAAGTTCCTTTTCTCATTTATGTAGCCTCAAAACTCAGAATGAGAAAGCCATTTCCTTGAACACTATCTTCACCCACAATTCATCAACTTTCACAATTGGCTCAAGATCACAGTTTTCTCTACAAAGTTCATTAAAGGAGGAAAATATATTTAGAAAAATCAAAGAGTCTTCAATGTAAACTCGAGTTTTAAATGGCTGTTTCTAGTTTGAAATCAGGAGGCAGTTTGGAGTCAAGAAAGCAACGTGAGCCAGCTATTACTGTGTGATACAGAACATTGTCTCTGAGCAGAAGAGGGAGCACAGACATACAGACAGACACTGTCTCTATTAGTTAAGTCTAGACTACCTGCAGCCCCTTTGTACAGCATTAGAAGAATGTGAGTTTCATAATCAGAAAAGATGCCATGAAGACACACGCATGTCATACGTACATTCCCTCACACCACTGTTGGTTTGGATGGCGAAATATTTTCTCAGTATTACTCTTTCTGGTAGAGTCCCAGTTCCAGCTCTTTAAGGTGACGTGGTGCCTTCCCAGTATTGAAAAGCTGCTAACAACAGCTAACAACAATCACCAACGTATTCCTTAAGCATCCCATAGTCACTGAGATAGTGAGAATGAGCTCTGGATATGTAGAACTGACTTGAACTGAGACTCAAGCAAGATGTAAAGCCACCCAAAAGGTCAGTACCCATTGATGAATCCACAGCAGGCATGCTCAATGCACAGGCTGCGTGTTATTAACCCTGTCTGTCTGGAAACCAGGGCATGGGAGGGCACAGAGCAGTGCTAACTCACGTGATAGCAAATAATTGTATGCATTTTGATATACTGGCTAAACACAGTCCTGTGAACAGCAAAAAAATATGCAAACGTGTTTTGTGTTTTCACAGCATTATGCAGGTTGGAAAGGACCTCTAGAGATCATTGACACTTGCTGAATGCTGATGTAGACCAACCAGTGCATGTGAGCACAGTGAGGAGGGGATGGAGCGTTTCTGCAGTGGTGACAGTGACAGCATATCACCTCTGGTGGTGCACACTGGTGCCAACACAGCATGAAGTCTCTTGCTCACTGCAGCTGAAAAAGCACAGCTAATGGTGATGACTGTGCTGAGAACCAGAGTTTTGTAGCTGAGAACTTGCTCTATCAAATAGTGTTATTGTGCTCTTTGTACCTATTGTAGTTTCAAAGGAAATAAGGATGTATTATTTTTGGTGCAACCAATGTATATGCAGCCCAAGACAATTCCTCTTAACTCAGTGCAGCCCAGGCAAGCCAAAAGGTTGGACACCCAAGAACTGCACATTGTGATTATCATTAACATCACCAGAACTGTTCAGCAAAGTAGAAACAGAAGGAAGAAATCCAGATGCTTTACTATTACCTGTAAAACCTCCACGAAATGAAACAAGAGGTAAGACTTCATCCAATGAGCAGAAGCACAAGAATATGGTTGTACGTTCAACTACCATCTCAGGTTGCAGAAATCTTTTGATGCTTGCCCAGAGTGAATGTGAAAAGATAAAGCATCTCCCCCGACCAGAAGAGGCTATGGAGTTTTATCCAGTGATTTATGGAATTTTACTTAACACAGCTAGCTGAAGGACTAAATAAACAATTCCAGCTTCAAGAGCTGAAGCCCCACATTTGTGACATTCCAGATTGACACGGGCAAATCATTATTGCAATAAGTAGAACAGAACCCAGGAGAACCACAAAACAACCTAGCTCTTTGCCATTACACTCACACCATTAGGCAACAAGAACACTTACGAGTTCTTTGCATCTTTTATGCTTTTTCCTCACTTCATGCTCAAGGTTTTCACATTTTTTGCGTTTTTTCTTGAGTTCAAATTCCTGCATAGAACAAGCAAAAATAGACCACTAAGACCATATTCATAAAATGCAGAAGAAATTCAGCTTCTCTGATCCAATGCTACATTGGCTTTTTCTGTTTTCTTAAGGAAATCTTTGCTACAAACATAAATGACATATAAACCCAAAAAGATATATATATATTTTTTTAAAGGTAGTGAAAATAAAAGACTTTTCAAGTAAAGCAGTTATTCCTCCTTTCCTCAATCCTTTCAACTTCTAGAAACAATTCTCTATTTCTCAGTTGCAAAAACTGTACTGATTTGTCTAGGATAGGATGCAGGACAGGCTGTGAGGAACAAGTAGGCAGAGCTGTGGAGTGTTTCATACTGAAACACTAGCTGTGCTAAATTAGCTCTTATTCTAATCCAAATGACATCTAACAAACAGTAGACAACCACTCTTCATGTGCCTTTATCTGTGGTTACTTGCTACCACTCCTGGTTCCCCAGGTAGATAAAGATGCCTAAACCTCACTGTGAACTGTCCCATCTTGCTAGAGTCATGCACAGAGGCCATGCTCCTCATGACATCGGTCTTGGGTCAGTCATGTCTGTTCAATGAATGCTGAACCAAATGCACCACAGAATCTATCACTGGCATGGCTTCCTCTCCTTTCAGACTGATGCATACCCCCAGTTCAGCACAATACCTGGAGCTGGCACCCACTTTCCATGCAGAGACAGCCTCTGCAGGTTGCATCTAAAAAGACTTCAGTTCCCAAAATCTTTGTCTAGATTCTACGGGTGAAAACTCAAGAAAAACTTGAACTTCTTCATCCAAAACCAGACTGGCTTTGCTCTGGAAAGAAAGTGCCAAAAGACATTGACCCCTCCTGCACCCGTGCACAGGGCAACAACTCACCAGCTGCTGTATCTGTTGGCTGCTCTCTTGGTCTGTTACTGCATTTTTTGGAGGGAAGTTTTCATGTCCTTCCAAGGCAGGGCCCAGAGGTAGCACACCTGGTTCCACCTGGAAAGCAAGTGAGATCTCAGAGTTCAGGGACAGCCAGGAGCACCAAGGAAGACATTCCCCTGGCCATAGCACCTAAGATAGCAACATCCCACAAGCAAACTCCAAAACAGTAATCACAGCTGGAAGACGGTTAGACGGGAGGACACTACCCCCTTGAACAACCAAAAGGGAAAAATCAGCAAAGATCTCAGCATCCAGAAGGCAAGGAAGAAAACAAGGTATTAGGAAAGGGGCATTCTACCTTGGTTGTTGGTGAGAGGGACAGAAACAACCAGTGTGCTGTGCCTTATGTTCTAACACCAAACAGAACAGAGAAACAAGGGAAACCCTTCACAGCTACTACAGAAAGATGTCTGGTCAATAGCTGACATGGCTCAGTCTGCCCAGACTAACTACTGACAGCAGGACAAGGCCTGAGGTAGGCAGATGAAAAAGGGCCACGATAATGCTGTTTTTCTTTAAATGTTGAAGTTATTTTTGATAAGTAGGTTTTAGGGACAGGAGCTGATGAACATCAAAGTGAAGTTATGCAGTGAAGAGGCAGGACTTTGTGACTGCACCTCAGCCTGTAACCTTCAGCCACCTGTCAGCAGCAGCGGAATTTCTCATCTCACTCTGAACACCTGCAGCGAGGGATCGAAGTTACTATATCTGAGCTCCCTTCACAGTCAGTTACCAGGACTGCATCCCAGAACAATACTTACCAAAGTCTCTTTTAACTACTTCGGACTTGAAACCCTGGTTTCAACTACAACAATTTTCATGTTGAAAGCCAGAAAACCATAAGACTCCAGGCAAGCCCAGGCTAACAAAGTTTCCAGATTTTCTGCTATAGAGCTGGTGCTTGAAACAGCAGAGTTCTGAAACTCACATCCTGCATTGAGCTCAGGGACTTCCTGCAGCCCCACAATTAGGGAGACATGGGAGTTCCATTAGGGAGCTTCCAGCTGTTGGCTTCCCTAATGGAACTCCCATGTCTCAACAGCTGGAAATCTCAAGGTCCTCCACCCAAGCCATGGGCCCTTGCATGTCATCATATGTTTCGCCAAAACGTTGCATTTCAGCCAGCTTTAATGAAATAATGTCTCAAGGAACACCAGCAGATGCCACCTAAGGTCAGATACCCATTGTGCCAGTTACATGCACTAGGCTTAGTAAGCCATACTCTCACAGCAGATATGTAAGAAATCTCTGCTTGTTTGTAAGCACTTTTCAGTAAAATGATACATACAATGATTACATTCCTAATTACAGACAACTTTCAAAAACTGTAAAATTATATTTGCCCACTCAGGTCTAATTTCCATCCAAGAACAAAGACAACCTCCCAGCTACGTGCTCACACACTCTTACTGTCCCTCAGAACCCAGACTCATCACCATACCAGACAACTGCTAAATGAGACTGGCACACATCACGGTGAGCGCTGTGCCCTGGAGCTGAGCCACCTCATTCACAGCAGGGACTGAAAGATGCTCTTTGAACCAGGTGCACGGAATCTGTTCAAGAAAACAGTTAAAAATAACCAGAGAACAGCTGCCCACAGTGAGCACCTATCTTGGCAGAGCCCAGGGACAGAGCAGGGTGAAGCTGTGCTGCTGATGAGATGTCCAGAACGTAGCAGCTTAAGTCAAGCATACAACAGGCACAGATGCACCCAGGCTTTGGCAAATGACCAGACTGTTTAAAGCAAGCAATAAAGTATATTAAAAATGTTGCAGTCTTTCTAGAAAACCCTGTCCTTGGCATGCAGAAAGCATCATCACAATCCTGCCCCCCCTGGAAATGCTGAAGCATCTCCCACCCAACCACAACCTGTCTCCCTGCTGTGCCAGGACAGCCATGCGCAATGTCACAGAGCTGGACCACAAAACTGATTCAGGTTACAGAAAAAGTGGGAAGAACGCTACATTTGCTGGGCTGTTTTTAACCCAGATCCGTCCTTCAGTCCCTAACACTCTGCAGCTCAACACAGCCTACAGCAGCACGATTGGAGGAGCAGTGGGAATGTGCAGTGGGAAGTAGGAGGCTGCTTAAGTGAGCACTACCAGTGTGCTCACTACATTAGTATTGTTACAGAGATAAGCATCATCCCACAACCGCAAATAAAGAAGCAGAGAGATCAGAAAGGGAAGAGAGAAAAGGGATTTTCCAACACCAGTAAGAGAAGCCTGTTCTTTACACCCTGAGGAAGTTCCTTGAAAGGCAGGGGATAGAGCGCTGACACACTGTGCTACAGAAGGAGACAGAAGAGCAAAATCATTTATTGTACTTGTGGTACCTGTGGTTTTTGCTAACTCGATCCTCAACACCGTACCACTGCACCCACGCACACCCAGGTCCTCACTCCCTGCTCTTTGATGCTACCACACAGCCTTCTTGCTATGTTCAGCTGGGAAATCTTTGGACAATGAGGACTTCTTCACTTTTGGAAAAGTGAAGAGCAGCTATGAGAAAGGATATAATGCATATTCTCTATCATGAGAAGAATCTGACATATTCTTCAGGGTCAACTGAAAATCAAGGTATAAAAGGGCTGTTCAAGGACAACTAGGGCAGAGCAGGACCAAAATAATAAACAAAAGAAGTCTGTGCATCTATCTTCATTATCTAAGGGGTGAGGGTTGACCATGGCAGAAATCTCAAACTGTGAAGAACAGCTGAGGATTTGACTCAGAGATTGAAGTGTCAACCAGAAGAACTGTAGAAACCAATATAATAAATATAAACAGGAACAAATTACCAAGATTAGACAATATTCGTCTGAATTTAAAAAACAAAACAAAACAAACCTTTCACCATGAACAGAATGTCTCAATTTCAGCACCCAGTAAGGATGTGCACTATGCCACCTCTCTAATGCAATGCAAAACAACTGGAAGGTGGTAAAAGTCATGTTTTAAAAGGCTTCCAGTGGGGATCTGGGGAAATACAGACCTGAACAGTTGACATCTGTGCCACAGGAAAACCAATCGAATTGCAACAAAGAACATGCAAGTACTTAAACAAACAAAAGAAAAAAAATCAACTCTATGCTACACTCCTGACGCTATAAAATGGGTGAAGAAGGTGCAGCACATACAGCCTGCCTCGTACGCTGCTACAGTGCTTTTTTAAAGGCTTCTTCAGACACTAAGCTGACGTAGGAAGAGGGGAAGGGATTCTCTTGGATAAACGTCTGGGGAAAACAAGAATTGAGAGGCAGCAGGAGCTGTGCACCTCAAATACTGATGTGGTGATGAAACAAACAGTGAAGGGTCCCTGTGGCACTGGGACAACACATCACAGCGTGGCATGGGACAAACAGTGCTTCAGTAGTAGCCAACACTTAGACAACAAGACAAAGGGCTCTATTAGGAAAGGGAAAGAACTTTGTTATGCTGCTCTGGGGGATCCTGCATGCTGCGACACAAAAACGACACAAAGATGGACAACTAGAAAAGACGATGGGTTTTCCCAAGGAGGCTGTGGATGCCCCATCCCTGCAGGCATTCAGGCCAGGCTGGATGTGGCTCTGGGCAGCCTGGTCTGGTGGTCGGTGACCCTGCACACAGCAGGGGGTTAAAACGAGATGGTTATTGTGGTCCTTTTCAATCCAGGCCATTCTGCAATTCTATGAACGAACACTGAATAATGAAAGAGAATCCTCCAAGAAAGAAAAAATGGCAGGAGGAGCACGGCGGCAACAAACCAGAGCTCAGAGCAGCGCGCCAGGCTGCAGGCGTGACGTCCTGCCCCAGAACATCGCAACTCAACGAACGACTGACGGAAGCCCCCAGGCCGCCCGCGGCCCCACGCAGCCCGGCCGTGACGGCCCCGCGCTTCCCGCCCGCCCCCTCAGGGCCGCGGCCTGCAGTGGGCCCGCACGCAGGCCGGCCCCGCGGCAGAGCGCGCAGCGGAGGGGCTGAGCCGCCCCCCCGCGCCGCCCCGCACCGCAGCCCCGGCGGCCCGGCAGCGCACAGCCCCGCTCCCGGCACCGCGGCCCACCGCGGCCCAGCCTTACCTTAACCTGCCGGCGCGCGGCTCGCGGGGGGGGGGCGGCGCCGCGGGGATTGCCGGGCCGGAGCGCTGCGGCCACGGAGGGGCAGGGCAGGGCCGGGCCGGGCCGGGGCAGGGATGCGGCAGGCTAAGCGCGGAGCCGCTCGGCAGCGCGGCCTGTGCGGGAGGCCCCGGCTGACGGCGCGGCGGCCGCGCGGGGCTCGGGGACACGCGGCCCGTCCTCCGCCATTGAAAACCGGCCCGGCCGACGTGAACCGCGGCTCGCGCGCCTCGATCGGATTCCCTCGAGCGGGAGCGAATCGAGTAACGGAGCGGCGAGGCCGTCGGCCGCTGTCCCGCTCGTCTCACCGTGCCGCGCGCTGCCCATCCCGCCGCCGGCTCCCCCCGGCTCACCTCCTTCGCTGCGGGTGAGTCTTTGCCGCGGGCGTTCGGCGCCGGGCCCGGGCGGACGGCGGCGCTCGGCAAGGAGCCCCCCGAGCCGTTTTTGGAGGAGCGCAGGCAGTCCTTGAAGTTCTTCAGAGCGATTTGCCTCTGCAGCCGCAGCACTTCTTTCTGGGATTCCCGCAGCAGCCGGTCGAACTCCACCACGTTCAGGCAGCGAGGGTCACCCTGCGGGGAACGGTAGCACGGCGTGCGGCTGCAGCAGGTTAAGGGTGGGTGCAAAGCACGAAGTGCTGCCAACAGATGCCAGCACACTCCGTTCCCTAACAGAGCACACAAAAGCTTCTCTTTCCTGGGCCCCCAACTCCTCCAAAGCAGTCATTTCGCATCCTAAGTGTCAATACGTAATTTCTCTCACAGATGAAAACTAGCCTGCGATGCTTTACGGTTATCCCAGTGTAAAGCTATGGTAAAAAGGGCTTTTCTAAGCGCGTGCTTTCTAAGTGTTTGCCAGCAGAGAGCGTGTCAGGATAATACAATTTCATTTATTCGTTCCACAGCAAAACAAGAGCCCCAGCCGGGTTCCTCTCCTTGCTGTGTGTGCTGGTATTCTCTGCAGCCCTGTGCGTGCCTGGCGATTAGGGCTTTAATGTTGGAAAGAATGAAGCGTATCTGAGACGTGTTTTCTTCTGACTCAGGGTGTTTGGCTTTTTAAAGTGCTACTGATTTCTGACCACAGAGTGCTTGTGTGGATAGGCTTCTATCCTCAGCACAAGTAGCTGTCCTGTCCACTCTGGACGCAAAGCCAGCAGCTTTTAAAGGAAGCCAGTGCAATTTTAGTCTTGCTAAAACAGTGAGAATACGCCACCAGTTTGTGTTAATTCCTCAAAGGTTTTCAGATTTCAGAAAGCTGAAAAAGACACGTACCTGCATGTCCATACAGACATACAAAAGCTGGTTATGAAAACCTGCCCTCACAAATATGCTGCTGAAGGAGACATTGCTCATTCCCCTGGAAAGCTCCTAAGCCAGTGAATGCATAATTGGTATCCAGGACAAATTTAATCTGCTTCCCCGTTCACTTCTTATTCACCCTAAAAATAGCATGTGCTTTGCAAATACAGTTTGTAGAAAAGCACAGTTACTCTCAAACAACAAGGGGGAAACCGAGGCACCATTAATGGGAACTGATTACAGATTCAAGAAGTGAGCAGCCGCGCACTCTGTGCAAGACCCACACTGAGGCTATCAGGGTTAGTTCTTCAAACAAAATTGGCGGGGACTGCCTAAAAAGCTCCCTTCCCCCACCAGAAAATAGAAGCAGCTATTTCCATAGAGAGCCTCCAAAGCCGGGGGGAAATAAGAGAGCAGAAAAGCGCTCAGTCTTCCACTCACAGCTCCTATTATTCGTGTCCTCTGCAGCTGCCTTGCCGTTCCCTGCAGCCTCCAGGAATCCCCACTGCAAGAAACGGCAGCCTGGTGGAACCTGGACGGGGCCTTTGTTGCAAACCTGTCACTGCAGCATGATCTCAGGCAAACATCTTACCCTGAGAGCTCTGACTTGGCAAAACAAGGCCCGCTCTTGCAGCCTGGTGCGCGTGTCGTCCTACCACTGAAAATGAACAGAGTACATCTGTTTCATAGCTACTGAAAGATTTGTGCTGAATCAAGTGCGCTAGATTAAAAATGATTTGGCTACAAACTCTGAGCATGCACATAATATCTCTGCTCATAAACCCCCTCATTGGCATAATGCATTTTGCATGCTGCAGACAGATTAGGGGAATTTTGAATTTTAACTAGCTGAGAATTAAAATTTAATGAGCAGCTTGCTTGGAAGATAAATGGGGAAGAAAAAAAAAAAAAACAACAACCCACAGGATCAGAAATAATAATTTCCTCTCTGACAATTTTTCTCTGCAGATTCCCAGCTCATGTACTGATGGCCCTTCACTGCTGTTGCCTTGGCAGGTTACACAGATGGTCTCACCTTCCCAGCCAGGGTGGTTGCCCATGCCTTAGCAGCAAAGCAGCAACTGAAGTCTCAGCAGCTATGAGGACTGCACCCATACGTATTTCCTTGGCCAGTAATGAATCTTGCTCTCCTGCCTTTGTCACATTCTTCTACAGTTTGTCAGCTTCCTATCCCTGGGAGATTCAGCTTGCTCAGCACACTCTGCTGTGAAAATCAGAGGGCTTGTTCCCCCTTCTGTGGGAGTCTGCAGTGAGCAGCCATGGGCACAGGAAGGAAATTTGTTCTTGGTAAGACTATAGAATGCACTCAGACCTAGATAACTTTCTCTTGTGATTTAACACCAGAAGGGATCACTGGGACAGCTCTGTACAAACAGTGAACAACACCCAATTATTCTTGTCTAGACTAGATCTATGTTAGCAAAAGGCAGAGAATCTACTTGCAAACACATAGTTGAAGTGAACACATGCAGAGCTCAAGGAATGAAATAAAGCTGCTTTCAGCAAGAAAGTATTTGTCACCTAAATATTCCCATGAGTAGGTAGAAATAGAAGTATTATTTCTGCTCAACTGGGTGCAGAAACACAGCACTGCATTTGACCACTTGCATACTAGTGAAAAAGGGAGAATGAGAGTGTATTAACTGACCTGCATTGAAACTGTGTAGCTTGTGAACAAAAGACAGATCCGATATAACCAGAACAGATTGCTCTGGCCACTCTGAGCAGGAATTGTTTCACCTAATTTAGGTGCCTGCAGAAACTCCTTTTGTAACCACCTCAGAGAAGTGCCTTGAAAGAATGTCGAAGCAGTTTTACACGTGTGTCTCAGGATGAGCTGAATTTTCCCTTTTATCCCACTTTTTATTTCAGCAAGTTCTGTGCTGGGCCACCAGTCCATGTCCACAATCAACACTGTAGATTTTATGAGTTTTATGAACACCCACCCTCATTTTAGGATTTGTACACCTAATATCAGTAACACAAGTTTGCATGTAGATATCATCACTATGATGGCTGCAAGCACTAAAAGCTGCTGCTGAGAGTATGCAATCTGGAGTGATTCTTGGGAATGTGCTCAACTGGTTTTGTTTTTTAAGGAAATGCATTAAAAGGAAGTCCTGCTTCTATGTCTTACTTGAAGCTTAATACTGTGAAAGGCCATTCTGTATCTGTGGCTTCTGGGGTTTTCCAGGGAGACAGTTTTAGTTGCTGATGAAAATGGCAGTGCAGGATCTGTGAATCCACAGAGGGAGAAATGGGATGTCCCCCAGCACACTGTTCCAAGTAGTCTGGATCCTGCCTTGGCCACATGCTCCTCTAACTTTCCCCATAACAACTCACTCATCACATACTCCCTGTTTTCAGTCTGCCCTTGAAACTAATTGCCATGGCACTGCTGGAGCCTGGTTCCCGACATCGTTACTGCACTGTTTGCACCCAGCCACTGCACAAAGTCCCCGAAGTATCTCACCTTCCCTGCAATGAGCTTAGCCTGCAGCTCCCGGCACTCCTGCTGCAGAGCTTCAATCTGCTTGTCTTTTGCCAGAAGAGCACTGGCTTGCTCTGTCAAGTCCTTGGCACGCTGGCGGGCAAATGCTTTTTTACACAGCTCCAGGCTGGAACCCTTCAGGGGCACTGGAGCAGTTACCTAAACCCAGAGAGAGCAGCAAGAGAGAAAGCCACATACATTGGTATTTTTCACTCAGAGGGTGGTGGTGCACTGGAACAGGTTGTCCAGAGAAGTTGTGGATGCCCCATCCCTGGAGGCATTCAGGGCCAGGGTGGATGTGGCTCTGGGCAGCCTGGTCTGGTTGGTGACCCTGCACACAGCAGGGGGTTGGAACTGGATGAGCACTGTGGTCCTTTGTAACCCAGGCCATTCTAAGATTCTATGAATGATGTTGGCCAACTATCACCCCAGGTGTCATCAGAGACCAGGGCCAGGACATGCAGCCTAGCCCCAAAAGACAGAGAGAGGAGCAAAACAGGCATATGGAAAAGTCAGAGGAAAGAGGAAATGCTTCTTCGAGGAGCAGATCAAAGCAGAAGTGGGAAGAAGAAGGTGAGGTGAGCAGATGAAGCCAACGCACACACAGACAGTACAGAGGGCTGCAGGCAGAGAGAGGAAAGGAAGACAGGATGAAGGGAGAAATATGGAGAGAGGAGGAGAAGAGAATGGCAGGGAAGATGAGCAAAGGGTGGAGGAGGCTAAGCCAGGAGGAGAAATGGAGCTGTCTTCGAAAGACAGTGGGAAAGAGCTTATGCAAGGATGGGTGGAAAAGATAGTCAAAAGGAGAGGTGAGGGAGAGCCTAGCCAGGGCCAGAACAGCTGATGCTGCCCAGCTGCAGTCACCTGAGGATGACAGCTCTCAGTAGGAGCCGTCCATAAGGCCAGCTCTCCCATGGGGTACCAGCACCACAGGTGGGCACCCTGCATGTCCTGAGCTGGCCACTTGGTTTTCCTAGGGCTCACCCAGGGCTCAAACAGCCACCATCCCAAACTTAAACACAAGAAAAAAAATGAAACAGCATTTGTGAAGTTCCTGGAGGGTCTGCATAGCTGTTGGTTGTATAGCAAATGATTTTTCTTGGCACAGTACCTGACAAGTCCATCTGGCAGCAACTGTTGTGCTGCAAGTACCAAAACCCTGTGACAAACGTGTTCCTAGTGCAGTGCAGGGCCCAGGGACAGAGAGGGCAGGCAATGCCAGGAAAATCCCCTACCTTCCCCTACCAGCAAAGCTTTTGCTTCTTCTTTTTATCCTGAAGGGCTTGAATTTCCCCCCTACCCCCGGTTTCCTTCCAGTGGGAGAACATTTTTCCCCTACTCTGCTGCAAGCTACCTTTATGTAGCTCGTGCAGATGTTTGTCTGCAAAGCACCATATCCTGCAGCCATCTCCCTCTACTCCTGCACCACATCAGAAACTACTGGGTTTGCAAAAAGCTCCTCTTCAGTTTGAGAAAGAAAAAAACACACCACTTGCACAAAAATGCTAGTGAGGTGTGCACGAGGCAGAGCAGAATATCTCACCCCTTCCTGTTTTGCTTTACCACACTCCTTTTCTTATTTAAATACTTCCTGTTTCTTTTCGATGAAGTCAGATGAGTTATTTTCATGACTAGCCCAGGGAAAGCTGAGCTAATTACCTAAATTAATACTTTACATTAGATTGGCACATTTACAGCAAGAAACCAATTAGGAGGAAATTGCTCAAAACCAGCTCCCCAAGCACGAGCTGGAGAAGCTGGTGATGGTTCTTTCCTCAGTTCAGTTTTGTGGTTTTTGCTCTGTCGCTGGTATACAAAGCAAGTTTGCAGCATGGCCTCGCCAGGTTAATTAAAGAGGAAAGAGGAGGCCTTTCTGTCCCAACAAAAGCAAAAAACAAGAAGTCCTGGGGGCAAGGTGCTCTCGTAGCTCAGGCCCCAGCACAGCAGAGGCTCAGCACTCACGACTTTGAGGTTGGCCTCCTGCAGTTTTCGGGCTCTCTCCTCCAGTCGTTTGGCGATCACCGCCAGCTCTGCGTTTTTCCTCTTCAGGTGCTTCACCTTCTCCTCCGTCTCTGGGAAGCAGCTCCTGCGCTGGATAACAGAAGGAGAGGGCCAAGGTGAGACCTCACTCAGTGTCCCTCCGCAGTGCTTACACACCCTCCTTCACTTGTCTCCTCCACGGTCACTGAAACTTTGCTTCTCCTGATGTTTTGTTAACGTCACATCTTGGTTCCTCAAAGAAACCCCTTGCCCCATCCAGCCTATGGACGCTCTGCAACCTTACACTCTCTCTGCTCTTTGCAGGCTCTGCCTTTGCCACTTGGGACTTGGCACCTTGGGGCTGCTGCCCCTTCCGAAGCCTATCCCTGTTCATCTCCCTGCTGCTTCAGTGTTCAACACATCACTGTGGGTTTGTGCTGCAGCACCATGTTACAGTGCGAGCTTTGCTGCTGTCCTTGCTCCCCTGACACTGAAGCATGAGTTGGGGGGGACGGGGAGAGAGCAGCCAAGGACTTTACAATGTTTGCAAACCAAATTTCCTTTTCCTTTCTATTGATTCTGTTCGCTCTTAATCCCCTTTTATTTGTTATCTGTCTGTTTCGATAAGCTGCTCCTTGTTCTCTCAAGGTCAAACCCAGATGTGTTGCACTGTCTTTTCACATTAGCAAAAACGTCAGGTCAGCTGATCCTTCCAATTATTTCCTTCACTACCTCTGTGATCCCACCATGTGCACGTGCTGCTTTCACTGCCTTATTTGATTTCCTTCAGTCAGAAGACAAGAGGCTGATTTTTGAGAGTAAGATTTGACGCCAGCTTTTATGACAGTGCTTTGCTAAAACCCATGGTTGTCAGTGGGTGACCCTCCCCAGTGCGCATGGCGTGCTGAATTTATGCTCTTAGTGCAAGAAAATTATCTAAAACGTGTTCTGAATCTAGTTATATACATGTTGAATGATTAATCTTTTAAGGGTATTTTGAAGGGAAAAAATTGGCATGAACTGTGCTCTTCTCGGATTCTTTCCTGCCTTCTTCCGATCCTTTTCAAAGAGCTGCTGTGACATTTACATTGAGAAAAGGAAAACACTTCTGCCTAGGAGGGCAGTATGGCCCTACACTTTCAGAGACACATGGAGAATGAGCAATGCAAGGTGCTCCCCTTTGCACAGTGTAGTTCAGAGCCAGGGTTGCTGATGAACTGAAAAGTTATAGGGTTGGACTGATGCAGCTCTGCCAGCACTGCAGAACTTAGCTCCAGGGTGGCTACATCCCTGTACCACAGGGCTTCCCAGGCAAGGATGCTTTCTGGTGAGGATTCAGTAGGGAGAATCCGCTCTTCTTATTTCCTGCTAACCATGAATGTGGAACCCAAGGAGGTGGGAGTGGGGCAGATTGGGCAGCCTGCACTGTGGCAGCCTGGCCTGCTTTTGGGTGCTGGGGTGCAGCTGGAATCAGGTGCCAAGCTCCCACTGAGCAGGGGGCACTGCTGCATTGTAACCCAGAACAGGGCTGACTGAATCAGTGTTTCTGCTTTTCCACTTAAAGAGGAAACAAGAGCGACTTCCCCCTCCTCTGCCGTCAGTTCGCTGCTGCCTTTCTCTCTGCCAAAGCTGGCAGCTGCGGAAAAGCCTCTTGCAGTTGCCAGCAGGCAAACAGTCCTGGCAAGGATGTCAAGGAGGGCATCAGCAGGTCACCAGGAAGGGGTCCTGCTCAAGCCAACACTGGGTGCAGCAGAAAGGCACCTAGGGGACCCAAAACACCCTGCTCACCCCAGCTGACCCCATGTGCTGTTCTCTTGGAGCTTGGCGCAGCCAAGACTCCTTCCCCATGCATCATCCACACATCCACACATCCCCATGCATCATGTGTCTTGAGCCAGCCTGGTGCCTGGCCAGGGTGCAGGATGGGGCTGTGTTCTGCACTCACCAGCAAGCTGTTCTCCTCAGTGAGGCTGGAGCAGCGGTGCCGCAGGTCCTCCAGTGCGCTCAGGAGCTTCATGTTCTGGCTCACAAGGAAGCTGTAGTCAGCCCCACTCTGCAAAATGGCATGGGAAAGGCAAAGCAGGGCTTCACTGTCCAGGAGCAAAGGGGCCATGGCTGTGTGCCCATCCCAACCCCATAGTGAGCCCAGCCTGGCTATGAGAGTAGGCCAGCGAGATCAGAGTGCAGGCAGCAAAGGGGCAGGGTGAGACCTAGAGGCTGATTTCAGGACAAGAGGAGGAGAGAGACTGCACATCCTTTGGGGTTAGCAGGAGCAGGCCATAGCTGGGTGCTCCCTGCTCTGCCTGACTGTTGGCAGCTGCTCTCCAAGGGGTGTACAGCTAGTGATGGGGGACATCAGTGAGGCTATGGAGGCTGGCACCCAGCACGAGTGGTTCCCCCTCCCAGCACCATGGGCCAGCAGGATGGGTCCCTCTCAGCTGCATCAGGGTCTCAACTTCCACCTTGGGAAAAAGCTCAGACCCTGACATTGTCCCCAGCTGCTTGCATTTTGACATTGTGCCTTCTAAACCAGCTCAGAACACAAACAGAGCCAGCAAGAGCACATGCCATGACACACCAGACATGTGCTCCTCCCCGTGGCTCAGGAACCAGCAGCCTTCAGCACTGCACAGTTTTTGGAGGCAAAGAGATGTCCTTGCCCACCTCCCCATACCAGCTCAGGTCCAGGAACCATCCAGGAGCCCAGCCCCAGTTCTCACTGTGTCAGCCTTGGCAGTGGAAGAAGGCAACATGCTGGATTTCTTTGCAAAACACCACCTTAATTTTGTCACATCAAAAGCAGCAGCAGCTCTGCTGGGAGCTGTATATATAGCTTGTGGTTACTGCTTCCTGCGCAGAGCTGCTCACCACAGGCTTGCTGCTGAAGCAGGGGCCCAGAAAGTATTTTTGTGCGTTAGCAAAACTTGGGGCCAAGCTATTGCTTCACAGTCACCATATGGCAGCAGCAAGGCGCGCACCTCGGGCAGACCTGGCCAGATGTTCTCCCAGCAGCCAGGCCAGTCTTGCAAGACCCAGGATGACTTTGCTGGTGCCACCGGATGGCTAAATCCTTCCTGTTGCATGGCTCTGTGTGTGCAGCCCAGTCTACGAGTGAAATGCTCTTCATTACCGAGAAATACCTCCCAGGCTCTCCTAGTAGCAAGAACTCAGACAGACAGATTGCAGCACAAAGATGCTTCTAATCTCTATCAAGTCTGAGGCTGTCTAAAACTCACCACAGTTTTGAACAAAATTGGTTTTGGCCTCTCAATCACTTCAATCTGTTAAAAAGCACAAGAGAATGCAAAGCACTCCCCACCAAGTCCCCTGGCACAGCTCAGCACCACAGGCAGCAGCATCTCATCCCTATATGGAAATGCCTTGGCAAAGCAAGGAGGATAAATAGGGAAAAACAAAAACAAAAACTGAAAACTAAAAAAAAAAACCTAAAAAAAAATCAAACCCCCAAACCACCTCCCATCCCTTCCAACTAGCCTCACCCAATGCCCATACATATCACCAAGCCTTCTGACACTGCAGCAGGACAAATTGTGTGTCAGGCCTTTGGTGGAGCTGTTTGTAGGTGTCCACCCTGCAGAAATCCCAGGGTTAAGAAAGGTGGAGCGAAATGCCCCATGGAAGAGGCTTCCATTTGTGGGAAAGCAAACACATATTTATTTTCCTCTTTTCCACCCATAGGCACAGCCAAGAAGTCACAGAGCCAAGTGCTGATCAGGCTGCATAGCCCATTGCTCTGGTCCCAGGTTCTGCAGCACCACTGATCCCATCCCTGCTGCTTTACAGGCACAGCATGTGTCCCAGAGAAAATTTCCATCTCCAGAAACAGCAGAGCCCTTCCTGGCACCCAGGAAGGGGACACTGTGCGTCCAACAGGGGCATGGAGCAGGGCAGGGGCACAGAGGGGTCCTGTCAGTGTTTTCCAGGCAAGCTCAGCAGAGCTGTGGGCTGGTTCAGCATGCCATCCCTAAAGCTAGGAAGGCAGCCCTTGGGATGAAGTCAGAGTGCATTATTTCCACCTCTTTACAGCTGCCAAGAAGATTCAAGCTTTTCATCTTTGCTTTCCGGCGCCCAGCAAGGCCAGGCATGCTCAGCCTGGGGCAGGATCTGGGCGGCTGTGGAGCAGCCAGAGTGCCGTGTCCTGTCCCCAGCAGCAGCCAGGCTTGTGGCACGTCAGCACAGTGCTTCTGCAGGGACAACTGGTACTTCCAGAGACTCTAGAAGGGATTCTGCTGGGAACCAACCCCCTTATGGGCCCATTTCAGTCTTTGAAACCTCTTTTCTGTAGCTAAAAACAGCTAAAACCCAGGAGCCTGCACTGAGCTCCTGAGTGCTGCCCTGAGCCCTGCCCCAGGCTGGGTCAGCCTGCAGCTTGGCTGTCCCCAGCTCCTAGGACCCTCTATAGCCTCAGGGCCTCACCAAGAGAGGCACAAGGGGCGGCAGCAGCAATGTGGTATCAGGGGACCTTCCCTGTGGCCCTGCAGCTCCTGAGGAAGCTTTGTCACCTCCTCCTGGCACAAGATCGGGGCTGGGCTGGCTGCCTGGGCTGAGTCTTCCTCGCACACCACATGGCCAGCACCGACCGCCTGTCTAGACGTCATCCCACACTCATTAAACATTCATTTCCCATAATGAAATGGCTTTTCATTTATTAACTGCTCCTCCGTTCCTCATTGCTCCCACGCTCCATGATGCAGCCTTACTGCAGATTGTTCTTGCAGCCCCCCTAAATGCTGTGTTCAGAAGGGAGCTGAGGAAATCTTTGAAAGAAGAGGCCCCCACACATGGCTTGTCTTCATAAAGATGCAGAGAAGTGCCAGCAGGAGCCATGAGCCAAAATCCAAAGCACCCCATGGTCAGGGAGGTAAAGCTGGTGGGAGCTGAGGCAGAGCTGTACCAGAGGGCACAGGGAGCCCTCGTGTCCCTGCATCTGGAGCTGCCTTGGCCACCAAAACAGTTAAGCCCAGGGACACCTTTGGCCACAGGGGACATTTGCTAAAGGCAGAGCAAAGCAGGAAAATAACAGCAGGGAGGCTGGTGGGGGAGAGCGGAGCGCAGCTCCTGTTTGCAGCTGGCACACAGCTTTGAAGTGTCTCGTTTCAGGGAAAACATGATCATCTGTCACCTCCCCTGGCAGGTAGAGCCAAAAATACAGCTTCTTTGCAATGCATCAAGAGTGAACAAACACAGGCCTCAGCAGGACAGCAACAGCAAGAGAAGCTGTTTCTTCTTCACCTGAAAACTTCAAAAAGCAACTGAGAGCTGCAGCAGCTTTTGCAGGGAGAAGTGCCCAGCCAGGCTGCTAAATGGGTCACAAAGCCAAAATCCCCCAAGAACCACCCAGCATCCAGCGCAGGCTTTGAAGTCCTGCAGAACATTTGCAGGAAGCCATTTGAGGGGCAGTAAATCACGCCGCGGCGGGGCTGGCAGCACTGCTCCGCAATGCGGCTCGGGCACACTGTGCTGCCGATGCCTTGTGGCTCAGCCTGGCACCAATCAGCCCGGGGACTTTCCTACACCTGCTGCAGGGACTGAGCCAAAGACAAAGCCCTGGCCTGATTGAAAATCCCAGCAAATGTGGAGGAGGAGTTAAGCAGGTGGCTCCTTGAGTGGCACATCTCAGACGGCTTCTGGCATTCTCTTGGCTGATTTTAAAACATATACAATCTGAAGATGTTTCTACAGGGACTTCTCTGCCTGCAGCAAACAGGGCTCCAGCTGCCAGGTTTGCTTCCCAAAGGCTGTCTCTGAAATCCAACCCTCACCGCTGCAGACACCGCTCCCAAAGTGAAACTACACTGCTGCTTTCCTACTCTCTCAGATGTATTAAATCCACCACCTCTGCCTCTGAAATTGTCACCTGTCACACAGTAAATACCGAGCCTCAACTGTGCCAAAGCCCTTTAGCTGTTCATTCCAGCTGACTTTGGTAATTAGTTTCCTTAACTTCTCAGTCCTCGCCACTTGGAAGTAAAACCTGTCACTGCTCATCCATTTTCTCCTCTTCCATCCAATCTCAGTGAAATCAGTTCATAGGAGAAGCTATTTTCTGTAGGCTGCTTTCTGCAGTGCCCTCACTGCACATCAAAAGGAAGACGAAAATAGCATCACCTCCTGCTGGGTCAGTGAGCAGCAGCAGCAAAACCCATTGGTGCTGGCACAGCGAGTGCACCTCGTGCTGGAGAGCACGTTATCCAACCAGAGGTAAAAAGGCTGTTTTGGTTAAAGGTAGGGGAGAAGTAGGAGAGGAGCTGGGGATGCAGTCGTGCTCACCCTGCCACCCCCCTGACAGGCAGCCTGCGTCCCACAGCTTCCTTCATTTTGCACCACGTTCCCACTTTCAGACACAAACATCTCTGCGCTCTGACTTCATGAGGCTCCCCTCCCATTCCTTGCCCTGTGTGCTGCCTTGTTTCCATGATTCAGCATTTTCTCCCACTGCCAGTCCCTCTTCCAAGCATGACCTTATACACTGTGATTTCCTCATTTATCTGATTTTTATCGCCACTTGTAACAAATTCATGGAAGAAAAAATCCATCCGAGGCTATTTACTTCAAAGATACTGCCTCCAGCACAGGGAGTGTTGGAGCCACACACCGCAAGATATGAGGAGAATATTCAGGGAAACATTCACATTCTATTTGCTCTTCCTTACAGCCTCGCACAGGCATTGCTCCTGCATGCCCTGTCACCACCACCAGCTCTTCCTGTGTTCCTCACAGTGTATTTAAAGCGAGACATGCGGTTAAAATTGGAATCTCACAAATTTGTATCCTCTCTATTTTTATGAAAGCACCATCTCCAGTCCTAGAAAAACAAACTCTGGTGCTTCATGAGGAGGAAAAAAAAGCTGGACACCGTGGCCAGACTGTCCTTTAATGAGCTCAGCTGCTTCGGGCTCCCCAGACAGAGAAAAAAGAATGACTTTTGCAACATCAAGACGAGGAGGATGTGAGTGGAGAATAAAATCCTGGGACAGAGGCAGAACACAAGACTACCCAGTGTGCAAAATGGAGCAGTTTCTCATCTTTAACGGCAAATGCAAAATAAAGAGATTTTGCAAGCAGATGAGAGAAAATGACACCTTAATACCGCAAGGCTGCTGGAAAGGCAGCTCTGAACCACTCCTGACGTACTGCGCACGCATTTCTTCATCTTGCACAATCAGACAAAAAGCAGATCAGCCAGCTAAGAGATACAGAGGATTTGGAGATAGCCTTTCCTGTCCCTGCAAGGACAGCTAGTCGCCATGCACAGAAAGCAGCCCTACATGGGATGGACCCAGTGGGGAGAGTCAAGTAGGGAAGGTCCTGCTGAGGGCACAGGTGCTCATCCAGCAGCTGCCATCTCTACCAGAGCTGCTCCTTGTCCTGCTCTCCACTGTGGTTCAGAGGCCTTAAACCAACCCTTCTTGCAGTGGGAATAACCTGCCTGATGCAGAGTTAGGACAAGTGAGGGTGGCTCTGGAGCTGTGACCAACCTCTCTCCACATTCAATATTCTTATTCATATTCATCTCTCCATATTCAACATTCTTATTGCAAACCAGAATATACAGCCAGAAACTGCTGCTGGTGACTCCTGGGCTGCGATCCAGCTCGGTTACCAAATAACCTAAACCACAGGGTATACAAAGCGAGTATGACAGCGTCACCTTCCTACCCCGGGTCACTGTGAGACTCAGGTGACTGCCTGGGAGCCGAGGCACCGCAGCCTTTTTCCCTCACTGAAGATTTTTCTGGGTCCTGCTGCGAAATTGAATATGCAGAGCAGTGGGCGCAGGCAATGGTATTTACACCAGGAAAAAGCAACATGTAGAAGTGGGAAGTAAATGTGTTAACATCCTTAGTGCAAACACAGAAGGATGAGTGACTTCGCAACCTCTCCTTGCATACCCTTCTGCATTGCCCATCCTTTGAGCTAAACACATGGCACTGCCTTCCTATAGAAGGTGTTTGGGATTTTTCTTGTTGAACATCAGCCTGAAGCTCTCGGCACTGCAAGCTCCGGTCCGGGCAGCTCTGAGGTTTTTGTGGAGCATCTGGGCTCTATTTTGATGCCACGTGTCAGATAATTCTCTTTTGTAAATATGCAAAGAAGAAAAAAACTGGGGAAGAGTGATAAAATTTAGCTCTTCCCAGGTTTGGTATTTTGATGAACAGAAAGCCTAATCCAAAGAAGCACTCCCTAGAGAAGCATGAGACTTTAACACTGACAAATGCATGCATGACATGACATGACAAATGCAAATGACATGGGAATGAAGCGCCTGTCTGCAGTGAGCAGCACAGGACTGTGTCAGGCCTCCACACAGAAGGCCACTGAACTGCAGTGCCCACCCCATGCAGAAGTGCTGCTGTCATCTAACAGGATCACAGCACCAATAGTTTATACCAGATCTCCTTCCCACTTCAAAGCCTCAGCAGCAGCATCTGTGGTCTCACTAGCTTGGTTCTATGGAGTAGAGAGACTGGATTGCCTAACATGTTCAGCTATGAAGAGACAGATGCGGTCCTGAGCCCTGGAAGGCGCGTCATGGCGCCAGAGCGGCAGATCTTGTATGCACAGCTCAGATTTTGCCCAGGCATTTGCCACCACAGCTCTCCCCAGCCTGTACCTGTTTTCCACACAACTTGCAGTTTCACAGGGTACAAGAGCACCTTTTCTGCTTGAGTCACATTTGCTTATAAAATGCCATGATTACCAAACAATGGGGAGCAAAGCTCCTTGCACATCTCACTAAGCAAGAACTCATTGGCTAAAATGTGACTTTCGGAATTTTTCCTGGACTGACAAGCCTCACATTACCAGTAGCTCTAACAAGTAGATGAGGGACAAAGACATCATCATCCCCTGGCACCACTCTCAAGAGCCAAAGGCTTGTTCATTTGCTCATACTTGTTCAGTGATCAGTATGGAGATGAGAATGGCAAGTGCTGTAGGAGGCTTAAAAACTGATGCCCAAAAGGATGTTTTCAGAGAGCTGCTAAGCAGATGGCTCTGCTGCAGAAAGCCTGTGCTCAAAGCAGGGAGACATCAAACAAGTGCTGGCACTGCACATGTGCCATTTCTCACCGTGTTATTCCAGCAGGCCCAGGACATCCAAAAAGAAGAAGAAAAACACACTGGTGGAAAATGTGCAGAGGGCAAATTGAGAAAGATGCTGAGGCAAAAGGTCAGGCTGCAATCATGGCCAGCTCCCAAATCCAGTTTGTCATCACCAGTTCAGTGCAGTCAAGGACATGGTGAGGAGGCAATGGCCTCCTCAGTGGAAATTACCTTCCCCTTCCAAACACTCTTGCTTTGTATCTTCTTCCATTCAAATAATGTCACGTAGTGTCTTTGTGGCAGCAGCTATCTGCAGTTGGCCATATACTCTTTATGCTTGCAGAAAACAGTTCTAACTCATTTGCATGAGGCTGAGTGTTGCCAAGACAAGAAAAATTAATTTACTCAGATTTTGAGCAAGATGGAGTGCAGTCTTCAAATTGTGATTGTTGGAAATGGTGTCTGTACCAGCAAGAACTGGTCTGTGTCCAGGAACAACTTCTTGCCCTTCTCCCATCTTTTATTCTGCTGACCTACACTTTGCAGTCAGAAAAGCAGCTCAGGCACTTAATGAATAGTTTTCCACCTTTACTTACGGAATGTTCAAAGATCTTGAAACGCCATGAATTTCTGCAAAAGGAACCAAGTTTGTTGTTGAACATAGCTCAGCCCCTGGGCATAGGGACTGCCACATCCCATCACAGAGGGGTCTGCCCGCATCACTGAGTGCAGCTCCCAGCTCCACACAGCACTACCCACAACTAAACTATACATCCCTTGTCCAAATGCTTCTCCAACTCCAGCAGCTTTGGTTCCATGCCCAAAAAACCTCTTAGAGAAGAACCTCTTCCCAGACCCCCTTCTGATCTGCCAGAGGCAGCTCCACTCTGTTCCCTGGGGTCCTATCACCAGGCATCAGAGAGAAGAGATCTGGCACCTGCACCTCTGCAGCACTGAGGACAGCCCCATGCCAGGGCCCCGCAGGGTATTTTGGCTCAGCCACTGCCTCCTCTCTTGCAGGACCATTTCTCCTGCACCAGGCATCAGGAAGGAATTTACCCCACAGCCTACTGGCAGTTTGACAACGAGAGCCTTTACTGGCATATTATAATTCTTACTGCATCTGTGATTTGCGTTACTAAGGGAGCAACAGCATCTACTGTGGATATTTAAATTCCTACTGGGGGGAATTTGGGGCTCCTTGGTTTAAGCATCTTTATTTGGGTTTTACAGAGTCATTAACACCCTCTGTTCCCTCTGAACTCAAGACAAGCTGCACACTTGGCTTTTCAGAAATTTGGATCCAAAGTGGCTTCCCAAGGTTGAGAAGCAGTCATTACAGCTGTCTCTGAGCATCCTAGCCATTCTTCTTGCTTTGGTGGGCAGAACAGGGGTGGGTGAGCTGCAGAGCTTATCTGCCTGTAAGTGCAGCTGGATAGGCTGGTGGGGTGAGTAATCCTGGAAGTGAAGTGTGCAGGGAATGATGAGGAAGATTTACAGCATGAGAGAGCTGGAGCTGTGCAGCCTGGAGAACAGAAAGTTCAGGGGGACCTGAGAGCAGCCTTTCAGTATCTAGAAAGAAAGGGACAGGCTCTTAAGCAGGGTCTGTTGTGACAGAACAAGGGGAAATGGTTTCAAACTAAAAGAGGGGAGATTTAGACTAGATATAAGGAGAAAGTTTTGTACAATAAGGGCAGTGAGGCACTGCACAGGTTGCCCAGAGAGGTGACGGTGCCCCATCCCTGCAGACAGCCAAGGTCAGGCTGAAAGGGTGCTGAGCACTGATGGAGCTGTGGCTGTCCCTGTGCACTGCAGGGAGTCGGACCTGATGGCCTTTAGGGGTCTCTTCCAACTCAGATGACTCTATGATTCTTTCTCCTTCCCCTCTACCAATCTACCAAGGCATTAGGAAGAACCTTCAGCTCAGCAACCCACCCCAAACCATCCCAACTTTCCAGGACAAAAGCAGATCCTGGTGGAGCAGCACCTCACAAGAGATGCAGACAACTCAGCTCTTGCAATAAATGCTCTAAATTCATTCTGACAGCATCGTGAGCAGTTCCAATTTCCTGCCAGACTGTATCTGTGCCACTTTAACCCCACTGCTCCTACACAGAGCTTTTTTCCTCTGATATTCATTATTCTGATTGGGATCCTAAGCCTGCAGCACCTAGAGGCTCCCAGAATGCAAGTCACTTCTTGCATTCTGTATCTACACAGAAATTTTGGAAAGCAGGACCAGAGTGATCTTGAAGGCCTGGGAACAAGAATCCATTCATGAAATCAAGGTCCCAGGTGGCACCAGTCAGTGTGAGGATGCGTCTCTGCTGGTACCCTGCCAAGGAGCCAGGAAATCCTGCAGAGCATGGGAATAAATGGGCACAGGGAAATTTCTCTCCATGAGCTTTGGAAAAGGGTTAGAGAGGTAATAGAGTCCCAGTCCTTGGAGATACACTGGCCTGGATAGGCCCTTAACAATATTATCCAGTGTGGGAGCCAACACTGCCCCAGGTGTGGTGTGTCCACCTCATCCCACTTCCCTGCCTCCGGAGTTCCCTTGGAAGCTCCCAGGGAGGAGAAAGACCACAGCTCTCCACTTTCAGTGCTCCAGAGGAATCTGAGCAAGCAAGCTGAGATTAACTTGACCTGCAGAAAGTCTTAACATCTGCCCATAGACTGGCCCTGAGGGAATCACAAAGCAGCAGTCGTG